GTTGTGAGTGAGGACTTTGGGCTCTCCTTGATGTCTTCCAAGACACGTTGGGTGCCATGTTTCCTTGGGGTTGACTCCTCGGTGGGCGGAACACTGCCGATGGTATCGTCGATGGAACACTGAAAAAAAAAAATAAATAAATAACAACGAGTAAGTTAGATGTGGTCGAGTCGGAGGCTCAGAGATAAATGAATTCCCAGTGGCTCGAGCGTCGGTTTTTATGTTGTTGCAAACAATAGATTGTTTACGATTTGGTGATTGATTGGATGCCTAATGACTATTTAATGACTGTTTGTCGTTCATTCCCAGGGAATCCAGGTAGATGCATCCACTCATAATGGGTTTTTCCCATCCCTAATGGGCTTTGTTGCCCTAAATGTTTTTTGTACGGCTTTATTAGCGTACGAAAAAATCGGAAAAAAAATCTATCCTACGTAACTCGACGAGATCTATCGAAATATCGAGCCGGATTTTTGTGAAAATTACGCCTTTTTTGGAATTTTCGGTCGATATCTCCGAAACTACGCCAACGATTTTTTTCAAACTTTTACCACAAATTCTTTAATTTTTTTACCATTTTTGCACGCAAATCGCATTTCTTCAAAAAGTCATTTCACCATGTTATAGGGAAATGAAATTTTACCGGAATTAAAATTTTAAATAAATACACCCCGTTTACTCGGAAACTATAGGGTTTTCGAAAAAAAATTATTCTTTCAAAATTATTAATTCAAGTTTCATTTAACTAACAAAACAAACCCGATAACGATATCTTAACCCGTTCAAAAGTTATAGCAAAAAAAAGGAATTCCCGGCCGGCCGCCGTGCCAGCGCGTGTGACGTCACATCGCTCTATTACTAAACTACTACTACTATTACTAAATTCTGGTGACATATTACTAGATTCTGGTGATATATTACTAGATTCTGGTGATATATCACTAGATTCTGGTGATATTACTAGATTCTGGTGATAACTAGATTCTGGTGATATATCACTAGATTCTGGTGATATATCACTAGATTCTGGTGATATATCACTAGATTCTGGTGATATATCACTAGATTCTGGTGATCACTAAATTCTGGTGATATATCACTAGATTCTGGTGATATACTACTAAATTCTGGTGATATATCACTAGATTCTGGTGATATACTACTAAATTCTGGTGATATATCACTAGATTCTGGTGATATATCACTAGATTCTGGTGATCACTAGATTCTGGTGATATATCACTAAATTCTGGTGATATATCACTAGATTCTGGTGATTTATCACTAGATTCTGGTGATATATCACTAGATTCTGGTGATCACTAAATTCTGGTGATTTATCACTAGATTCTGGTGATTTATCACTAGATTCTGGTGATTTATTACTAGATTCTGGTGATATATCACTAGATTCTGGTGATTTATCACTAGATTCTGGTGATTTATTACTAGATTATGGTGATATGTCACTAGATTCTGGTGATAACCAAATTCTGGTGATTTATCACTAGATTCTGGTGATTTATCACTAGATTCTGGTGATTTATTACTAGATTCTGGTGATTTATTACTAGATTCTGGTGATTTATTACTAAATTCTGGTGATATATCACTAGATTCTGGTGATATATTACTAGATTCTGGTGATATATCACTAGATTCTGGTGATTTATCACTAGATTCTGGTGATTTATTACTAGAATCTGGTGATTTATCACTAGATTCTGGTGATTTATTACTAGATTCTGGTGATATATCACTAGATTCTGGTGATTTATTACTAGATTCTGGTGATTTATTACTAGATTCTGGTGATATATCACTAGATTCTGGTGATTTATTACTAGATTCTGGTGATATATCACTAGATTCTGGTGATATATCACTAGATTCTGGTGATTTATTACTAGATTCTGGTGATTTATTACTAGAATCTGGTGATTTATTACTAGATTCTGGTGATTTATCACTAGATTCTGGTGATATATCACTAGATTCTGGTGATTTATTACTAGATTCTGGTGATTTATTACTAGATTCTGGTGATTTATTACTAGATTCTGGTGATTTATTACTAGAATCTGGTGATTTATCACTAGATTCTGGTGATTTATTACTAGATTCTGGTGATTTATCACTAGATTCTGGTGATATATCACTAGATTCTGGTGATTTATTACTAGATTCTGGTGATTTATTACTAGATTCTGGTGATATATCACTAGATTCTGGTGATTTATTACTAGATTCTGGTGATATATCACTAGATTCTGGTGATTTATTACTAGATTCTGGTGATATATCACTAGATTCTGGTGATATATCACTAGATTCTGGTGATTTATTACTAGATTCTGGTGATTTATCACTAGATTCTGGTGATATATCACTAGATTCTGGTGATTTATTACTAGATTCTGGTGATATATCACTAGATTCTGGTGATATATCACTAGATTCTGGTGATTTATTACTAGATTCTGGTGAATTATTACTAGATTCTGGTGATTTATTACTAGATTCTGGTGATTTATTACTAGATTCTGGTGATTTATTACTAGATTCTGGTGATTTATTACTAGATTCTGGTGATTTATTACTAGATTCTGGTGATTTATTACTAGATTCTGGTGATATATCACTAGATTCTGGTGATTTATTACTAGATTCTGGTGATTTATTACTAGATTCTGGTGATTTATTACTAGATTCTGGTGATTTATTACTAGATTCTGGTGATTTATTACTAGATTCTGGTGATATATCACTAGATTCTGGTGATTTATTACTAGATTCTGGTGATTTATTACTAGATTCTGGTGATTTATTACTAGATTCTGGTGCGATATCACTAGATTCTGGTGATTTATTACTAGATTCTGGTGATTTATTACTAGATTCTGGTGATTTATTACTAGATTCTGGTGATTTATTACTATATTCTGGTGATTTATTACTAGATTCTGGTGATTTATTACTAGATTCTGGTGATATATCACTAGATTCTGGTGATTTATTACTAGATTCTGGTGATTTATTACTAGATTCTGGTGATATATTACTAGATTCTGGTGATTTATTACTAGATTCTGGTGATTTATTACTAGATTCTGGTGATTTATTACTATATTCTGGTGATTTATTACTAGATTCTGGTGATTTATTACTAGATTCTGGTGATTTATTACTAGATTCTGGTGATATATCACTAGATTCTGGTGATTTATTACTAGATTCTGGTGATTTATTACTAGATTCTGGTGATTTATTACTAGATTGTGGTGATTTATTACTAGATTCTGGTGATTTATTACTAGATTCTGGTGATTTATTACTAGATTCTGGTGATTTATTACTAGATTCTGGTGATTTATTACTAGATTCTGGTGATTTATTACTAGATTCTGGTGATATATCACTAGATTCTGGTGATTTATTACTAGATTCTGGTGATTTATTACTAGATTCTGGTGATTTATTACTAGATTCTGGTGATTTATTACTAGATTCTGGTGATTTATTACTAGATTCTGGTGATTTATTACTAGATTCTGGTGATATATCACTAGATTCTGGTGATTTATTACTAGATTCTGGTGATTTATTACTAGATTCTGGTGATTTATTACTAGATTCTGGTGATTTATTACTAGATTCTGGTGATTTATTACTAGATTCTGGTGATTTATTACTAGATTCTGGTGATTTATTACTAGATTCTGGTGATATATCACTAGATTCTGGTGATTTATTACTAGATTCTGGTGATATATCACTAGATTCTGGTGATTTATTACTAGATTCTGGTGATTTATTACTAGATTCTGGTGATTTATTACTAGATTCTGGTGATTTATTACTAGATTCTGGTGATTTATTACTAGATTCTGGTGATATATCACTAGATTCTGGTGATTTATTACTAGATTCTGGTGATATATCACTAGATTCTGGTGATTTATTACTAGATTCTGGTGATTTATTACTAGATTCTGGTGATTTATTACTAGATTCTGGTGATTTATTACTAGATTCTGGTGATTTATTACTAGATTCTGGTGATTTATTACTAGATTCTGGTGATATATCACTAGATTCTGGTGATTTATTACTAGATTCTGGTGATTTATTACTAGATTCTGGTGATTTATTACTAGATTCTGGTGATATATCACTAGATTCTGGTGATTTATTACTAGATTCTGGTGATATATCACTAGATTCTGGTGATTTATTACTAGATTCTGGTGATTTATTACTAGATTCTGGTGATTTATTACTAGATTCTGGTGATTTATTACTAGATTCTGGTGATTTATTACTAGATTCTGGTGATTTATTACTAGATTCTGGTGATTTATTACTAGATTCTGGTGATTTATTACTAGATTCTGGTGATTTATTACTAGATTCTGGTGATATATTACTAGGTTTTGTTGATATATAACTAGATTCTGGTTTTATATAACTAGGGTTTAGGTTAGTTTAGTTTTTAAATAAAAGAGTACGCTTTTGCCAGCAAAGGTGTAGCTAATGATAGATTAGAAGGAGGTAGGTAGATGTAATGGGATACATTAGAGTAGGAGGGGTAGAAGAGTTTTGATGGGGGCAACGAAGGGTAGGAGAGGGTAAGTTGGGGGTTTTAATATTATTATTAACCTTATCCTATTCTACTTTTATTTTTTCGAATAGTTTCTAGTAATTTCTAAAAAAGATGGTTCTTGACCATTCTGGATGTTTTTAGAACAGTCCTAAATAGTTTTGAAGCCTTAAGAAGGATTTCTAATAAGTTTCTATTAGAAAATGATATCTAATAAGTTTATTCTTTGTAGGACTCCGTTCGACTGGAACTTTTTTTTATTTGTTTCTTTAATTCTAATTCTTAAAAAAAATAAAACTTTAAAGATTAAATTTACTTTGAAAATCCGTTTTATTATTTGCCAAAATATTTACATTTTTTATATAATACAGGATTCTATAACTCTCGATTCTATTTTTTTCTAATTAGTGTCCCACATTAAATTCAAGTTTTCGATAAATTCGTTCTTTTCGCTAAAGTTTAAATCGAAATTTTCGAATTTGAAAAATTCCTCTCCGATGCAATTTTTGAGAATTTCATCGACGATCCTTCGCTGGTCCTCGGCCAACTTCATAACGGGAGCTAAAAAAAAAATTAAAAAAATAAAAAAATAAATAAATAAAAACAAAAAATTGTTTGAAAATTTACCCAAAGTAGTAAACTTGCAATTCGAATTCTCGTTATCAACAGTAAGACTGTTTAAATAATCCGAAATTTCATCTTTTTGATTTTCTGGAGCTTCTTTTACAGGTACTTCGGGAATTTTACATTTAAACGGAACGTATTCGTGTCTATAAGGTAGTGCTAGGAAAAAAAAAAAAAGAAAATTATATTTATTATTTAACTAGTTTTGTGTAGAAAAAAAAATTTATACCAATCATAATGAAGCATTTAGGTGTGTTGTAAATATCCGGAATCAAAGCGTAATAACGCGGTTTATTTGTAGCTGCATAAACTCTTTTAACGATGCCATATTTTTCGGATTTATCCAATTCTTTAATCAAGTAGGTGAAAAACTGGAACCATTCCTCTTTATCATCGTACGGCAACACCCTGTATACATCTTCGCCTGCAAAACGATTACAATTTAATATGAAATATATACATATACATTCTTCCTTATTCATTTTTCTACATTCTTCTACATTTTTCCATTGCAACACATAGGCTATACGGGTGCGACAAAGACAACTCTACAATTAGACATTAAAATAAAAGAATATCGAAATTTTGATTCAATCTATCTTTGTTCCACTCGTAGAGAAACGCCCAATGCAAATGAAACGCCCTGTATGTATTATAAGCTTCTCTCTCTCTGACAACTGTCATTTTAACAATCTATCTATTTATCTTTGTTTCACTCATAGAAACGGCTCATAAGCATTTCTAAATACCTGCTAACAGAGTAGGCGGAATGGATTCCTTTTTAACGAATCCCAAAACGTCCAGACATTTTTTCGTATCCGGACGAAATTGAGCTGGATCGATTTGTAAAAATCGTCCGGCTAAGACGCGGCCTTTTACTAAATCCTCTTCGGCCACAATTTCGTCTAAATTATCGGCTAAAACTCTTATTTTTTTTGTAGTTTTCTCTCGGACTATCTTGATGTTCAAGTCTTTTCTAGAAAAGAAACACTACAATTAGTTTTTTCAATGTAATAGAAGAAGAGAGAATAAAAAGAAACAATACAATTACTTTTTCGATTGAAATAGAAAAAGAGAAAATCACAATACCTGATAATTTTAAAACTCTTCACAGGTACCTGAAAATTCTCCCCAAACGAAAGGGGCTCATTCCAGGGCTTCGTCCCTTGGGACAATTTAAAAGACAACAACAAATGGGGCGTCCCGATTTCCACTCTGCACATAACACTATAATTAGTTCCTTTAACGATCTTACTGGCTATCATCAGGTTCTCCTTGGATTCGTCCTGGAACGAGAGAAATAGTAAAAAATAGAGCTGTATAATCGATTCGATAAAGTCCATTTACTATCATCAAGTCTGCCATGCATTCGTAGATCATCTCCGGATGGGTTATGGGATACGGCAGGTCCACTTCGGGGCCGATAAAGTACAAATAAATTTGGTATTTGTTGATTCTTTTGATTATTTTATCTATTAGTAGATCGTTTGTGTTGGAATTTCGGTGTTCGAGGCTCGTGAAATAAATTATCTGACGCGTGAGGATTGATTTGTTGTCCTGGCAACGTTTTAAATAGTCTATAGCTACAAAATATACACAAATTAATTAATTAATTGATTAATTAATGAATTGTTTTACCGATATTCAAAGCTTCAAAGTTGGCTGTGGGGGAATCCGTTGGTTGGGATTCTTCGATGGATGTCTCGATGAATTTTGGATCGTATCTTTTGGATGTTTCGATTAGGCAAATATTGGGGATATTATTGATATTTTTCGTCGATTCGGTGTTAATTAATAATAATTTGTAATTGTATTTCATCGGGTTCTTCAGCCATTGGTATGTTGTGAATTGTAGTAGGCCGGTTAGTAATTGTCGTTTAATTGTCGAAGCTACGTCGAATAGGATCCAGACTTCGTCGATTTTAGACATATTTTATAATATTAAGATAAATTGTTTTAAAAGGCGCTTTATGTGATGTAAAAATACGAAATAAATTCAAAATTTTTTCTCACTCGAACGTTAATAAAATGAAGTTGACAGTTGACAGCTGTCCAGTGTCAAGCCTCGATCCGAATATTCAAATACAAACGAACGTCGAAAAGCCATTTGTTTGAGAAAAAATTGAAGAAAATTCCGTTTTTCTCGCTAATTAGCCGTTTTTTTTACAGGTCGCTCCTCCATTTTTGATTGCTATATAGGTTATATAAGTATAAGAAACACGTTTTTACCCCGAATAAATTACAATAAAGCTCAACTTGATAAATGTATAGATTCGTTCGTGTTCGGCGCTCAACCGACGTAATATATAGCGCCAAAAAAATTCCGACATTTGACAGCTGTCAAGTGTCAAGTCAATCGTCTACCACTGTTTACGTTTGAGCTGGTGTTTGTAGCGTTTTATTAGCGCTTTTTCCACTAAATTTCCACTAAATTTCCACTAAATTTCCACTAAATTTCCACTAAATCAACCCCAATTCAACCACCACGAGCGAGGTAAATCGTTAAATCATCCTCTCAATCCAACAAACCGTTAACACATCCATTTTTTCCGTAGGTCTAATCTCAGGTCAAAATCATGACCGCCTCCGATCAATTGGGCCTCACCAAAACCTGGGAGCTCTCGCTCTACGAGCTCCACCGCACCCCCCAGGACCCCGTCACCGATCACACCGAAATCGCAGTGAGCCCCCGAAGCCTCCACAATGAACTCATGTGTCCCATTTGCCTTGACATGCTCCGCAAAACCATGACGACCAAAGAATGTTTACATCGATTCTGTTCCGATTGCATCGTGACGGCCTTGAGATCGGGTAATAAAGAGTGTCCCACGTGTAGGAAGAAATTGGTATCGAAGAGATCTCTTCGACCGGATCCTAATTTCGATTTGTTGATATCGAAGATTTACCCGAGCAGGGACGAGTACGAGGCCCATCAGGAGAGGGTGCTGGCGAAATTGAATAAAAGCCATTCGAGGGAGGCCTTGATGAATAGCATTAAAGAGGGGATTAAAGTGCAGAGTCAGAGTAGGCCGAATAGAGGGAGAAAGGTGAACGATGCTTCGGTTGCCGTGGAGACGGAGGATGTTGGTGGTGGTGTAGGAGGTGTAGGAGGTGGTGGTGGAGGAGGAGGAGAGGTGAGTTTGTTTCTTTGTTTTTTTTTCTGTTTTGAGGGGGTAATAAAAATTAAAAATGGTTTTTTTTTTTGTAGAATTTAGCTCCGAGTTCCAACGCATCTGTCCAGCCTGCTACGATTAATAATAATGGTAATAATTCGTTGAGTCAACAACAACAAAGTCAGGTGGCTTCGGGGGCGACGTTGAGTCCTTCTGCATCGGGTAGGAGTACTCCCTCACAGCCTCCTAGTCCTGTTTCATCGAGCGTCAGTTCAATCAGTAAATCGATGGGAAAGAGGCCCAAAAGGTATTTATTTTTTTTTTCTTTGATTTTTTTTCAAAATTTTTTTTTATTTGCAGCGTTTTGACATCGGAAAGGAGTGAAGAAAGCGAAAATTCGAGCGAAAGAACGGAACAAACCGATACGGAAGGTGAAGGTCCTTCTGAGCCTCTAACTCTAAACGAAATCGAATTGGTTTTTAAGCCCCATCCGACTGAGATGTCGGGAGAGAATCCTCTGGTTAAAGCTTTGAAAGAGAATTCAATCAGGTAATAAAAAAAATTAATAAATTAAAAAAAATTGATGATTATTTTTTCTTCGTATTTTTTTTATTTAATTAATTTAATTTTCCAGATATATAAAAACAACGGGAAATGCGACTGTCGATCATTTACATAAATATCTGGCGATGCGTTTGACTCTAGATTTGGATTCGCAATTATCTACGACTCATAATTTATTGAATTTTTGCATTTATATTTCGCCCAATTCTGGTCAATATGTTCAATTGAATGGCAATCAAACGTTGGGACAGGTGAGAAGTTTTTTTTGGATTTTTTTTTTTGATTTCAACTATTTTTTTTTTTTCAGGTAAACGACAAATATTGGAAAGTGAACAAACCATTGGAAATGTTCTATTCGTGGAAAAAGACATAGGGAATGCCCAAGGGGGGGCCCAAAAGGGCCCCCTAAAAGTATTTATATAAAAAAACAATAAAAAGAAAAACAAATGTAATTTCGTTAAAAAACAAATAAAATAAAAATATAACAAAAAATCGTTATTGATTCTTCCAAGTGTTGTTGTGTAGAAAAAAAAAAGTAATAATGTAAAAAATAATAAATTATGTACACATTTTTTTTGTTTATTTTATTTGTAAACCAAAACGGAATAAATTCCCTCGAAAAAATCCAGTAAAATGAAAACACATTTTAATTTTCTCTATCTCTGCGAATATTTTCGAAATGACTAAATTTCGAAAATTTGAATAAAATAAAAAAAAGAAGAAAAATTTCTAGAATTCGATCTAACGGAATAATTTTCGCATTAATCACCTGGATGTTTATCTGGCGAAATTAATTTCGCCGACGTTATTCACTAAATATTTTTATTTTTTTTTTTTTATTTCAATTTTTTCTAATCGCGAAATTTCGCATTTTTCTGCTATCGAAAAAAATGTTATTCGGGAAAACATTTTTCTTCGGCTTACTAATAAAGAGCCGACTCGATCGAATCGGAGTCATTTCGATTTCGAGAGAAAAACGGTGAAAAAGTTGAAGGAAATCTCGTTTAAATGTTTCAATTCGGGGGATTTTTCGTTTTTTTTTGTCTATTTTTAGGTCATTTAGGTGAGTACCTACTTGATTAATTTTTCAATTTTTATTCAAAATGTTTTAAAGGAATCAACAAATTGATATCCGTTTTTTCTATTTAATTTCACTTTTTGCAGATTTCATCGAGTGCGCCAGGAAATACTACGTCAGCCCCGAATGGGTGAGATTTTATATTAATTTTCTCAAAAAAAAAATTATAATTTTTGCATTTTTCAATTTTTCCAAAGGTCACTTATAACAAAGCCGTGGAATTGTGTCTGGCTCGATCCATGGAATTGGTTTCCATAGAAACGAAGGAGAAAAATCAGGAAATTCTTCAATATTTGAACAGTTTAGGTGAGAGATTTTTGGCAACGTTGCTTCTTTTATAGCAATTAATAATTTTTATTAATTATTTAATTTTTTTTCCAATCTCGGAATTTATCTAATGACGCGAAAGTATGATTCAATATTTTTCCTAATACACTTTGTGATAAATTTAATGAATATTTTGTTTTTTTGTTGATTCGTACAGTATCGAAAAAAAAATAATATACATATATTTTTTTTCTATTAATTATAAAAATCCCGAAAAAACAACAAAATTTTCCACAAACCGTTCCAGAATTCTGGCTATGGGAACCCGATCCACAAAACATGTACTTCGTCCAGAACAAGAGACTCTTCTATTGGAGCTCGGGCGTTCTCAACGACAACAAATGGACCTGGATTAACGGACAACCAATCAAATATTTCAATTGGATGGACGGAAATCCGTCCAGTTCCCACAACAAGGAAAACTGCCTGGAAATCCTCGTGCCTGTTAATAAAAACGGACTGTTCTGGAACGACGTCGATTGCAATTCCAAAAGGCATTTCATTTGCGAAAATACCAACAGACATGATCAATTGACGATATTTTCGTTTGTTTCGGAAAAATGTTATTACGTCAATCACGAGAGGGTAAATTGTATTTGTTTTTTTTTTTTTTGAGGGTAATTTAATTTTTTTTTCGCCTTTCCAGTTACCCTATCACGACGCCCTCCAATTTTGCAAATCATTATCGATGGAACTCGTCAGCATTCCGAATGTCAGCAAAAACATCGAATTACACAGGATGTTACAGCACTCGGGTAAGTCAACCCTACCCTACTCGCAGTGTAGGTACTTTTTATACCCTAGCCTACCCTACTACCGATTAGGTAAAACAAAAAAATTCAAAAAAATTTTCCAGGCAGAGGCTTTATCAACGAAAGTCACAGTTGGCCGTTCTGGTCATCTGGCAATCGTTTCGCCGATGGTAAAACATTTTATTGGATATCAGGAGAACCAATCGAATATTTCAATTGGCAGGACGTCAACGATAACGGTTCGTTATGCATCACCCTGTATTCGGATTGGACGGAAATCCTTTGGGAGAACAGGAATCCGTGTACGTTTGGTCAATCGTTCGTTTGCGAAAATATGAATTTCAAAATCGAGAAAATCAGGAAAAACGTTTATTATGATGGCGTTGAATACAGGAATTATCGGCCCGGTTTGTTGCCATTTCATTTGACTAAACAATATTACATCAGTCACGAAGTGGTTAGTCATTTTTTTTTTATTATTATTAACGATAATAACGTAAATAGAGTATATCCTTGGTTACTCCATAGCAACCGCTAATAAATGAAAGAATTTCCTTAGTTACTCCATAACAACCAGTTTTTTTTTTGTATTTATAGGTAACTTACTATAGAGCTCACAAGTTTTGTCAATCTAAAGGATTGCAATTGTTGAGCATCCAAGACAACGACAAGAACAAAGCCGTTTACAGGGAATTGGAGAGAAGAGGTATATTGTACATATAAAAAAATATTCTTTTTTTATATTATTCAATTTTTTTCGAAATCTTCTCCACAGGTAACAACAGAAACTTTAGCTACTGGACTTCGGCTTCCCGAATACCCGGCACGAATCTGTGGGAATGGTACGGGGGGGCAATAATAAAATATTTCAATTGGATAAAAGGGGCCCCCAAGGAGAGCAAATTGAACAACGATTGCATCGAAATTCTGCCAATCAACAGAGACGTCAAATGGAATGACATTCAATGCGAAATGAAAAGGAATTTCATTTGCGAAAATTCCTATCCGAATGTAAATTTGTACTGCATAAGATCGCAGGAGGAGGCCGATAATTATTTCGTCATCGAGGGGGCTTGATTTATTTTCGTTTGTTTTTTTTTTTTGGAAAATTGGAATTTTGATTTTTTTTATTTCTCAGAAAAATTGAAATATTCGAAAATTTGAATTTTTTTAATTTGAATTGTATTTTTGTTTTTTTTTTCATTGGATTTTGGATTTTTTTAATTTCTCAGAAAATATGAATCTTTGAAATTTACTTGTATTTTTGTTTTTATTTTTTGTTTTTCAAATAAATACAAAATTAGTCGACCGTCTTCTATGGCTGAATACACTCAGTAGCCGAGGCCTCGAATAAATTAATATACAGTGTGTTATTTATAAGATGCGACATAGGGATTCCTGTACAAATGTGTCGAAAGCAACTTATAAATAACACACTGTATACTCTGTAAAATAAAATATAAATACGAAAAAAAAAAATAGCATAAATAACAATTAAAAAAAATATATATATATCAAATCTCTTTGGAAATCAACAGCTCTTCGACGCCCATTCGACCGCGATGTCTCCAAACCCGGTAACGTGCCAAATCCTTTCTCGTCACCATTCCGATCACCTGGAAAATTATTCACGAATATTATCGATTAATATCGATTTAATTAATTAATTCCGTATTCTCACCTCGTTAGAATCGTTAACGATGGGCAAATGTCTCAAACCGAGGCCTCTAAATAACCGAAACATCCTCGGCAGCGAAGCAGACTAAAAAAAAATCACAATTATTAATCAATTTTAATTAATTATTAATTATTAATTGGTAGCTTACATGTAATACAGTGTAAGGAGATGGATTCATAAAAGGCCTCAGATCTACAGAGTACGTTTTTTCATCATCCGATATGCTCAAATCCTGCGAAAAATAATCAAGTAAACTATTTAGTAGATTATACGAGGACGTTACACAATATACAGGGTGTTTAAACTACCAGGCTAAATGTAATCTAAATTAACAACCGGGAAATACAGCTTCATTTTGATTCGAAAAATCACAATATTCGGGTACACCCTGTATTATTTAATAACAAATATAAAAATCGTACTTCAATGGTGGGATATCTGGGATATTCGTTTCGAAAAATCGACACGTCTATGTTATCCCAATCGTCCGATGTTTCGTTGAAAATCTTCCTCTTCAGTATCACGATGAGCTGAGACCTCAAAATCAAACCTCTTATTCTACCGTACGTGGTAACTTCGCTCTATAAAAAATACGAATAAATACAATTAGTCGAATGTCTGTCTTCTAATGGTTGAATACCCTCAGTATTCAGAGGCATCGAATGAATTATAGAATATAAATGGCCTCTTACCTGATCGGTCAGCGGCGGATCGACGACGGGAAAGCCATTATAAGTGCTCAATTTCAACAATTCCACGATATGACCGACGTTTTCGACGCATTTCAACGTCACCACAGGATGTGACATCACTTCGCTTGCGTAAATATTATGGACCAATGGTGGTGGTTCCCAATGCAAGAACGGTATGCCCCACAATTGTATTAATGTATCGTAGATACCCTGGAGAGAAAAAAACAAATAAACAAACAATATTTAACTGGCATAGCCTCCTTCGCTATCTCTCTCTCTCTCTATCTCTCGTTTTTAATCGTATTGGCCTTCGTGTTAGCTAGTTTACAGTTACTAAACCCCGTCCCTGGCCTTTTCCTTAACTATTAACTAGTTTACAGCTACCCCGAACCCTTTCTACTGTATTTACACAGCGGTTTTTATTACCTCGTTGAAAAAATCCCCCGTCCATTTGGCCGCTATCAACGTTACGATTAATGGTAAAGCGAATGTTATATTCCCAGTCGTTTCCATTATAATCACCGTTAAACTGATAGTCATCCTGACGACTCCGCCCAATTGGGCGGCTGCCCCGATTAGGGCGTACTTCCCCGGATGGACGATCGACTAAAAAAAACCAAAAAATAAACACAATCATTCTTTACGAATCTCCGTGTTAATTAATCGATTAATCGAATTAATTACCGAATTGGGGAACACGTAGAATATCCCTATGGAAACCAATCGTCCCCAAGCTGCTCCGGTAAGTAGAGTTGGTATAAATAACCCGTTTGATGTGGCCAATCCGAACGTCCAGGCAGCCAAAAAAAAGTAGATTAGAACGAAACAGGCCAAAGATAGAGCGTTGTGGGTGTTGGGCGGATCGTGGAAAAGAGATCTCACCGATTCTTCGGGCGTTTGAAACCATATACTGGCTAATACGTTGTATTGTCCGTCTTCACAGTATAACTATAAAGAAGAAAAAGAAGAAGAAGCGATTAAAGAGGTGGCTTTTTTTCTAGACTACACTGCCCTACTCTATCCTACACCGTCCCACTCTGTCCTACTCTATCCTACTCTATCCTACACCACTAAGTGCTAAAGTAATCGATTGGAGGCTAAATGGGTACACAGTAAAAGGCCGGTTTGCAGTGTAATCGGATTGTTTTTTTTTTCTATAAAATGCCTATAAAAGTCCGATTTCCCGGAACAATCCGTACCTGCGTGGGATATCTAGTGGGGTCTTGACCGAACGGTTTGCAGTCATTAATCGAAAACATCATTAAAAATCCCACCGTAGCACTCACACCGGCCACCATACAGGCCTCCATAACTTTCAACCATCTCGATGTAATATATCTACGAAAAAATAACAATAAATTAGTTCCATAATTCGAAAAATAATATTTAAAAAAAAACCTGTTCTACTCTTTCCTATGTAAAATTGCTAATTTAAAGGCCAATAAGTGGGACTTTAAGATGCGTTCGATGATACATAAACTGTCAAAATTTACGTTTAACAGAGATGGGAATCGATTTTACAATATAGAGGTGCAGTAGCGACAGTTACAAAAAATAACAGTTATTTTTTCACATATCGTTCTCCCGCCTACTCTGTTCTACTCTACGCTATCGTACCTCATTCGAAATACCGTTATTTTGAAATTGACGTGATTCCAGAGGGCCCCGAACAATCCACCGAGCGCGCCCATAATGAGGAATATGGGCAATTCGAAGAATTCGTAGCCGAAATTGTCGAATTTGCCGAGATTCAAGAGACCCGGGTAGTTCAAATCGCCAGGCACTCCGTGGTAGGCCGAAAGTACCGCGTTTAAGGTGAACGTGGAGACCACGGAGGCGAAGAATATGCGCCAGGTGAGCCCCTGGTTCCAGAAACTGGTACCCTCTTCTAAGCTGAATAAAACGCCGCCTGTAAGAAAAGAGTGCCGTGGAAATTAATTTTTACTTCGAATTGGTATTTAAATTACCGACGGGCGCTCCGAAAGCGGCCGACACGCCGGCGGCGGCTCCGCCCGAAACGAAATCCCTCTTTTCGTGGTCCTCTCGGAAGAACTCAAACACTCCGAAATCCTTTCCGAAGGTGCTGCTCTTTCCTTGTGAAATCCCCGCCGCCACTACGGCCCCCGAATGTATCATAGGCCCCTCCTGGAACACAAAAAAAAAACCTGTTAAATTATCATCAAAAAAGAGCTTGGAATGAAAATAAATACCTTCCCTCCTGCCAAACCGCCTACGACTGAGCAAATCACGCCTAAACTTTTCACTATTAGAGTCTTTATTCTAACCACTCTGGGGATTTTCACGCCGTTCAGGTAACATTTAACCTGCGGTATTCCAGAACCGGAAGCGATTGGTTCCCCATAGGCGACTAATAGGGCTCCGATCAGGACGGGTACGACATTGTAAAGTACCCACAAGGCGTAGGGTACGTGCAATTTACCTTGTGTGACGTATTTATCAACGTCTGGATGGAAGATACGTTAAGGAAATATTTGTAATGAACGAATCGGTATTGTTTTCGTGATGTATTATAACGAGGAATCTTGACTCTACGAGTAGTCTAGTCCGTTCTGAATGTACTACTAATCTGCCCTGAATCTATTCCTAATCTGCTCCGAATTTTCCTCTAAATCCAGTCCTAAACTACACCAAATCTACTTCGAACCCTTCGAACTCTAATTAGAAACGATTTATTCTAACCCCAACAATCACAAGGATACTTTTGCTCAACGATGCATATTTGATAACCGACAGTTCCTCGATCGATATATCGATCAAGCATGCTATGAGGGCCGTACACATGCCGATCAACAGGAACACCAGCCATCTCGATATGGATTTTCTGATGATATATTTGTAGCCCTTTTTCCGTTCTTCGTCGAGTAGCAGATGATTCTCGCAGGTGTCGTAATCCAAACTCTACGGAGCACAACACACTCTGTTAATTTCATTTTTTTTATTAAATTAATTTAAATTAATATTGCGTGGCCTACTTCGTATTTGGCCGACAGCACGTTGAGAGATCCCGTCGTGATTTTCTCCGAGCTTATTTGGACTCTTCTACGCACTGATGAAAGGAGATTTGAATCATCGGAATCGTTCACGATTATTGCGTGTATATCATCTACGCTATCGGCGTTATTTATGGATAAAACGTTCTGTAAAAAAAACAATTATTATGTACATGCAAGGTAATTATAATGGTAATGTAGTAGAAGAAAAATTATACCCTGAATTTTGTAGCTTTAACAGTTGGTTGTTCGTAGGAAGAGGAACTTCCGGCGTTCATGTTTCGTGACCTAATTGAAAACTAAATAGGAAATGTACTACGCTGTGGCGATTATTTGTAGTTATCATAAATTCGATCGTACTTATCGTTAGAAACATGTTTTGATGTGGAAAGCATTTATGATTCATAAAGACAACACACAATAGTTGAAATTGAAATGACAGTTTTGTGTAGTTTCGCGAGTTTGTTTGTAGATGGCGGTGCAATCTGAAGTTCGTGCGTTCTGTTGTAATGTCAAAAAGTGGCCTTTTTCTATTCGATTCCGCGTTTATAATTAATTAGAAGAACAATTACATTAATTAATAAATTGGATAGTAATAAACGTTTAGATCATTTTTCTATTTATATTTTATTTTAGAGAGTATACAGTGTGTTATTTATAAGATGCGACATAATGTAGTTTTTAATACCGCGATCTGATAATCTTGACAATTGTGGAGTTGCCCGAGTTGGTTAACGCTCTTGTCTTTGAAAATTTCAGCGAAAAGAGTTGGGGTTCGATCACCGCGCGGGGCAGGGTTTTTTTTTTCTTTTTTTTTTCGGTATTTTTTGTTTTCTTAATTATTATTAATGCTTTTTTTCCTATTTATATTTTATTTTAGAGAGTATACAGTGTGTTATTTATAAGATGCAACATAGTGTAGTTTTTAATACCGCGATTTGATAATCTTGACAATTGTGGAGTTGCCCGAGTTGGTTAACGCTCTTGTCTTTGAAAATATCAGCGGGAAGAGTTGGGGTTCGATCACCGCGCGGGGCAGGGTTTTTTTTTTTCTTTTTTTTTTTTGGTATTTTTTGTTTTCTTAATTATTATTAATGCTTTTTTTCCTATTTATATTTTATTTTAGAGAGTATACAGTGTGTTATTTATAAGATGCAACATAGTGTAGTTTTTAATACCGCGATTTGATAATCTTGACAATTGTGGAGTTGCCCGAGTTGGTTAACGCTCTTGTCTTTGAAAATTTCAGCGGGAAGAGTTGGGGTTCGATCACCGCGCGGGGCAGTATTTTTTTTTTCTTTTTTTTTTTGGTATTTTTTGTTTTCTTAATTATTATTAATGCTTTTTTTCCTATTTATATTTTATTTTAGAGAGTATACAGTGTGTTATTTATAAGATGCGACATAGTGTAGTTTTTAATACCGCTATCTGATAATCTTGACAATTGTGGAGTTGCCCGAGTTGGTTAACGCTCTTGTCTTTGAAAATTTCAGCGGGAAGAGTTGGGGTTCGATCACCGCGCGGGGCAGGGTTTTTTTTTTCTTTTTTTTTTCGGTATTTTTTGTTTTCTTAATTATTATTAATGCTTTTTTTCCTATTTATATTTTATTTTAGAGAGTATACAGTGTGTTATTTATAAGATGCAACATAGTGTAGTTTTTAATACCGCGATTTGATAATCTTGACAATTGTGGAGTTGCCCGAGTTGGTTAACGCTCTTGTCTTTGAAAATATCAGCGGGAAGAGTTGGGGTTCGATCACCGCGCGGGGCAGGGTTTTTTTTTTTCTTTTTTTTTTTTGGTATTTTTTGTTTTCTTAATTATTATTAATGCTTTTTTTCCTATTTATATTTTATTTTAGAGAGTATACAGTGTGTTATTTATAAGATGCAACATAGTGTAGTTTTTAATACCGCGATTTGATAATGTTGACAATTGTGGAGTTGCCCGAGTTGGTTAACGCTCTTGTCTTTGAAAATATCAGCGGGAAGAGTTGGGGTTCGATCACCGCGCGGGGCAGGGTTTTTTTTTTTTCTTTTTTTTTTTTGGTATTTTTTGTTTTCTTAATTATTATTAATGCTTTTTTTCCTATTTATATTTTATTTTAGAGAGTATACAGTGTGTTATTTATAAGATGCGACATAGTGTAGTTTTTAATACCGCTATCTGATAATCTTGACAATTGTGGAGTTGCCCGAGTTGGTTAACGCTCTTGTCTTTGAAAATTTCAGCGGGAAGAGTTGGGGTTCGATCACCGCGCGGGGCAGGATTTTTTTTTTCTTTTTTTTTTTTGGTATTTTTTGTTTTCTTAATTATTATTAATGCTTTTTTTCCTATTTATATTTTATTTTAGAGAGTATACAGTGTGTTATTTATAAGATGCGACATAGTGTAGTTTTTAATACCGCTATCTGATAATCTTGACAATTGTGGAGTTGCCCGAGTTGGTTAACGCTCTTGTCTTTGAAAATTTCAGCGGGAAGAGTTGGGGTTCGATCACCGCGCGGGGCAGGGTTTTTTTTTTTCTTTTTTTTTTTTGGTATTTTTTGTTTTCTTAATTATTATTAATGCTTTTTTTCCTATTTATATTTTATTTTAGAGAGTATACAGTGTGTTATTTATAAGATGCGACATAGTGTAGTTTTTAATACCGCTATCTGATAATCTTGACAATTGTGGAGTTGCCCGAGTTGGTTAACGCTCTTGTCTTTGAAAATTTCAGCGGGAAGAGTTGGGGTTCGATCACCGCGCGGGGCAGGATTTTTTTTTTCTTTTTTTTTTTTGGTATTTTTTGTTTTCTTAATTATTATTAATGCTTTTTTTCCTATTTATATTTTATTTTAGAGAGTATACAGTGTGTTATTTATAAGATGCGACATAGTGTAGTTTTTAATACCGCTATCTGATAATCTTGACAATTGTGGAGTTGCCCGAGTTGGTTAACGCTCTTGTCTTTGAAAATTTCAGCGGGAAGAGTTGGGGTTCGATCACCGCGCGGGGCAGGATTTTTTTTTTCTTTTTTTTTTTTGGTATTTTTTGTTTTCTTAATTATTATTAATGCTTTTTTTCCTATTTATATTTTATTTTAGAGAGTATACAGTGTGTTATTTATAAGATGCGACATAGTGTAGTTTTTAATACCGCTATCTGATAATCTTGACAATTGTGGAGTTGCCCGAGTTGGTTAACGCTCTTGTCTTTGAAAATTTCAGCGGGAAGAGTTGGGGTTCGATCACCGCGCGGGGCAGGGTTTTTTTTTTTCTTTTTTTTTTTTGGTATTTTTTGTTTTCTTAATTATTATTAATGCTTTTTTTCCTATTTATATTTTATTTTAGAGAGTATACAGTGTGTTATTTATAAGATGCGACATAGTGTAGTTTTTAATACCGCTATCTGATAATCTTGACAATTGTGGAGTTGCCCGAGTTGGTTAACGCTCTTGTCTTTGAAAATTTCAGCGGGAAGAGTTGGGGTTCGATCACCGCGCGGGGCAGGATTTTTTTTTTCTTTTTTTTTTTTGGTATTTTTTGTTTTCTTAATTATTATTAATGCTTTTTTTCCTATTTATATTTTATTTTAGAGAGTATACAGTGTGTTATTTATAAGATGCGACATAGTGTAGTTTTTAATACCGCTATCTGATAATCTTGACAATTGTGGAGTTGCCCGAGTTGGTTAACGCTCTTGTCTTTGAAAATTTCAGCGGGAAGAGTTGGGGTTTGATCACCGCGCGGGCAAGTTTTTTTTTCTTTGAATATTTGGATATTTCCGTTGAAAGGTTAAATTTTATAAACCGAGTGCCTAATATTTTCGTTATAAAGAAAAGGGGAGGGAAATGAAAATAATTCGCAATTTTTTACAGCTTTTTAATTCGAATAAAAATCACAGCATTACATAAAAAAATTACCAAATAAAGAAACCTACTGATTTTTATTATAATAAAACATTTGGCAATATTCGACTAGGAATGTACATAAATAATACATAAAAAACTAATTAAATAGTTCAAATATTCGAATAAATAATGGGTATCTCACTAAACTAGAATACTATTAGAATAATTAAAAAGTTTGATATAAAATGAGCATTTTTTCTATATATTTATTACATAATTATATTATAATTATACTCGATTCACCCGAACGGACTATAAATAACGAGAAATACTCAAAATCTAAATTATTTACAACATAAAAAAATTTGTACAATTACTTTATGAGATACACAATTTAATTTAGTAGATAAATCCGGGGAAAAAATGCATATATCTTACAACGTTGTAATTTTATTTATTTCACCGGGCTATAAATCGTAAAATAATCAAGTCAAATTGCTTATATTTTGAGCAAATATCTAAATCTTTATAAAAAAAATGACTAAAATCATTAAAGCTAAAACTATGTAGTAGAAAAGTTTTGTACTATATTAGTACATGCAAAGAAATCAAGTAAACATGTAAAATTAATAAAAAAATAAAATAAATAATCAATCTATCCTATAGCATTCGAGAAAAAATTTTCGTTAACTATTTAAACTAAACTAATTTATTTATTTAATTTAAACTAATTTAAACTAATCAGATTAGAGATTAGAGGAGTGGTAGGGTAGGGTAGAGTAGGGATTAGATTAGAGGAGTGTTAGTAGAATCGTGATTTTCGTATTTTATCGAAGAATATTTCAATCCTTCGGGTAAATCGACGTTAAAATTAATACCGTACGGTCGCAAATGGTAAATTAAATATTCCAAAACGTACATTTGATTGGGACTTACATAATGGAAGGATACCGCATTATCCGAGCAGCATTCCATTCCCTAAAAAAAAGAAAAATTGAGAGATTTAGGAGCGGTTTTCGAAGAGGTTTTAGAGCGGTTTTTGTAGTAGTTTTGAGAAAATTTTTATACCTCTTTGTGTTCGTAATAGACGAACCTCCAAAACCAGAAATTCTTCGGCACGTGACCGGGTATCAAATGATGTTCCGGAACGAATGGAAAAAATCTTTCTCTACCTAAAGAATCCCGTGAATCACCGGCTTTGACTTTTACCGCTTCCATGCATTTTCCCATTTCCACGTCCTCGTCACCTTTGTAGCCTTTGTAGCAATTCGTCGAATTGTACAGTCCTATCTACGGAATTATAGAAATATATAAGTAAATAAAAATACTGGTTATACCTCGTACAATTTTAGTAATAATCGCCCTTTAGATCGAATTAGATGTCGACGTTTCCATGGCAACTCGATTATATCTCATAGAATTTATTAATTAATAATAATAAATATATACGAAAATAAATACCTCGATGAACCTCTTCAGTGCTTCTTTGCTCAACACGTAACCGGCCCCACCACTCATGTAGCCCTGTTTCACGTACGGTTTGAACCTGCACCCGAAATAAACGGCCTCGTCCGGTCGGTGGGTCAGCAACATGTACCTCAGGTTCTCCGTTATTACGTACCTGTCGAATATATTTCGAGTATATCGTAAGATTAATCCGAGCCAATCGTATAACTAGTATCAGTATACTAGCTAGTATATTACTAACGTGTCATCGTCGGCTTTCAGAAACCAATCGGCCGAATTCAAGTAATGCTTGTAGACGTATTTGAAGGCTTCTTTGGTTTTCAACCATAGATAATCACGGCCTTCTTTGACCGGCAGGGCTATCGACGGCAGCGAATCATCTACAACGAAACCCTTTGACATTAAAGAGTCCTTTGATGTATAAAAACGAAATACTAAATGAATTCTTCCAAAAGAATTCTTCATAAAATACCTTCTTTGGAGCTCATAAACAGCAACACGTTACACCGTCTGCCCCACGTGTTCCTCACGTGCTCTGCCTTCTTCGCGTGGTTTTTGGGCTGCGTCATCACCCAGCACAATATCCTCACAGACTCTTTCAATTTATTAGCAATCGAAGGATCCTCCATTTTGTGGAATTCCTCTTGAGCTCCATGCCTGCCCAAATCCGCTTTAGGGCCGTGGAATTCCTCCAAATCTCCGCTCGTGTGGGGATCCGAGAGAATATTAAGCTGTTTGATTGTAGAGAAAGAGGCCAGCAACCAGCCTACTAGGATTCCAACGAGCAGTACTAGAAATATTTGCTTGTTTAACGTCGACCTGGAAACGAAGGAATTTGTTATTTGTACATACGAGTGAGTATTTTGGACTGTTTGACTGGTAGAAGAAGAGGCCTATAATCGGCCTACTAGGATTCATGGGATTAGAACTGGAGAAATTTGTGTTTCTTGTACTTATCATCGATTGGAATGTGTTTAAGATTGTAGGATTTTAGTAGATTGAAACTTTACCATTTGTATATCCTAAGGAACGCCATATTTCTCTAAAAGAAACTGGTTTTTTAAACTAATAATCACATTGCGTACACATTTATTCGGAATTTACTGGTTTTAGTAATGTAAATTTTATTTTACATTGTTTATTTTGTGTTTGTTTTATTGTTGACGGAAATGTTCGGCTTTTTAAGGTAAACTATTTTGACATTTGTTTGACAATTGCACGTAGCTTGCTAGTCGACCAGTAAAAGGCCGTTATGGCCTCTTTCTATTCCATCATACGATAGAAATTAATTAGAAGATTTATTGTATCGAGCCGAAATAAATACTATGAGTTAGATTAGTGTTTTTTTTAAACACATAATCAAATTTGGAATAATCGTTAATTGTTGTAAACTTTAATCGAAAGAAGTAAATCGTGTTGCCTACTTTCAGGAGTAACTGCGTAACAGCATTATAAAAGTCATGCAAATTACATTGACATCTCATACGTCAAAATAAAATAGAAGAAGATTTATTATCTTGATATTTGTTTATTATCGCAACGATTTTCGAAATTTAAACAATTCAAAACCATTTAGGACCATTTTTCGTTTTTCTTCGCCTACTTATAAAGCCTCAACTGCACGGGTTATTCGACCTACGATAGATTTTTCTCTAAATGACATTTGACATTGTACGTAGCTTGCTAGTCGACCAGTAAAAGGCCATTATGGCCTCTTTCTATTCCATTTTACGATAGAAATTAATTAGAAGATTTATTGTATCGAGCCGAAATAAATACTATGAGTTAGATTAGTGTTTTTTTAAACACATAATCAAATTTGGAATAATCGTTAATTGTTGTAAACTTTAATCGAAAGAAGTAAATCGTGTTGCCTACTTTCAGGAGTAACTGCGTAACAGCATTATAAAAGTCATGCAACTTACATTGACATCTCATACGTCAAAATAAAATAGAAGAAGATTTATTACCTTGATATTTGTTTATTATCGCAACGATTTTCGAAATTTAAACAATTCAAAACCATTTAGGTCCATTTTTCGTTTTTCTTCGCCTACTTATAAGGCCTCAACTGCACGGGTTAATCGACCTACGATAGATTTTTCTTTAAATGACATTTGACATATGTCATTAGTGTATCGTTCGTGGTGTTCAATCTTGGTGTTTGTGAGGTTATGTGCGTTTGTTTTCGAGTGAAAAGGGCGATAAATCGAGGCGGAAAATGGCGGAAAGCGCTGGAAATTGGTGTTTGATCGAATCGGATCCGGGAGTTTTCACCGAATTGATACGGGAATTCGGTAAAAATTAACATAAAAAATGGCGTAGATAAACGAGAGATGTTTTTTTTTGTTTTGTTTTGTAGGTTGCCATGGCGTCCAAGTGGAGGAGTTGTGGAGTTTGGACGGGGAGCAATTTGAAAGTTTGAAGTAAGTCGTTGAAATTGTCCTGAAAAAAACCTCCCGAAAACCTCCCAGATTTTAGTAACTTTTTCAAAATCTAGTAATATCTTCAGAATCTAATAATATCCCCACATTTTCCAGGCCCATCCACGGTCTGATATTCCTCTTCAAATGGACCAAAAACGACGAACCATCCGGGCCGATCGTCCACGACCAAGGCCGTCTCGATCGCATCTTCTTCGCTCGACAAGTCATCGAAAACGCATGCGCGACCCAAGCCATACTGAGCGTTCTCCTCAACACGCGCCATCCCGACCTAAAATTAGGACATACTCTGACCGAATTGAAGGAATTCTGTCGAGGATTCGACGCCAACATGGCTGGTCTGACGATCAGCAATTCACCCGTCATTCGATCCGTTCACAATTCCTTCGCACGACAGCAATTGTTCGAATTCGAAGAGGACGAGATGGGTAAGAAGAAGAGGAGAAAAGAGGAGGAAATCTATCATTTCGTCGGTTACGTACCGATCGAAGGGAGATTGTACGAATTGGACGGATTGAAGGAGGGGCCCGTCGATTTGGGGGGTTACGGGGAGAACGGCGGGGATTGGTTGGATTTCGTCAGGCCGATTATCGAGAGGAGGATAAGGAGGTAAGGGGGATGGAGGGGGGTTTGTTTTTTTTTGGGTTGGTTGGTGTTGGTGAATGTTACTAGATTCTGGGGATGTTACGAAATTTTGAAAAAGTCACAAAAAAAAAACCACTAAAACCGACTCTTTTACTTTTTTAGATACAGCCAAGGGGAGATCCATTTCAATCTAATGGCGATCGTGAGCGATCGAAAAATGCTCTACGAACGAAAAATCGCCGATTTGCGGAAAATCGAAGAGGAAACGGCGACGTCGCAAAGTCGAGAAATCGCCCGATTAGAGGCGTTGATCCTTGACGAGGAGAACAAACGGACGAGATACAAGATCGAATGCATCAGAAGGAGACACAACTATCTACCGTTGATCGTCGAAATTTTGAAGATTTTAGCCAGAGAAGGGAAATTGGTGGGGTTGTACGAGAAGGCGAAGGAGAGGACTGTAAAGAGGGAGAAGATGAAAATAGGGGGATGAAAAAAGAGCGAGAGATATATGGAGGAATGGGAAGGATGAATAAATGGGGTGGGGGGAGGATAATCAAGTTTGTTTTTTTTTGTGTGTGAATAAAGAATGAATTTTTAGAATTTTTGTTTATGGTAATTTTGACACACATCTAGTAACATTTGTTACATTTAGTGATATCCCCAGAATACAGTAACTTTCGCCATATTTTTCGAACAAAAAATTATATATATCATTTATTTAAAACCATTCACAAACAACAAAACGAAGACGAAAAAGAAGAAATCCCCAATAATTATCATTTCTTCTTCTTCATCATCATCATCATCATAATCAACAACAACGATTTCAATGGCCCTTCTTGTATCCCCATTTCTTGTGATCCTCGTGCCCGCCCTTCTTGCCGTACTTCGATCCGTGATGATAGTGATCCTCGTGCCCGCCGGCCTTCTTGTGTCCGGCCTCCTCGTGATGGTGCCCGCCCTTCTCGTGGCTGCCCTTCTTCCCGTAATGGTCCTCGTGGTGACCGCCTTTCTTGTGACCTCCCTTCTTGTGCCCGCCCTTCTTGTAGCCGCCCTCGTGATGGTATCCGCCGTGCTTCTCGTGATGTCCGGCGTCGTGGTCTTCGTCGAAGAAGTGCTTCTCTTTCTTGTACTCGTCCAATTTGTGCACGTCATGGCCGCCTTTCGTGCTGTGGCCCTTTTTGTAGGAACCCTTTTCGCCGTACTTGTGACCCTTTTCGCCCTTCTCGCCCTTGTGGTGCTCCGCGTGGTAGCCGTCGTCGTGGTGATGGTGCTTCTTGTGGCCCCCGTGCTCGCCGTAGTGTTTCTTGTGGCCCTCTTTATCGTGGTGACCTTTGGAGCCTTTCTCGTGGTGATGGTGACCCTTGTAGCCTTTGTCGCCCTTTTCGCCGTGGGCGGCGTGATGGTCCTCGTGGTGTTCGTGCCCGCCGCCCTTCTTCCAGTGGTGGCCGTGACCGGAGGCGGCCGCCTCCAGGTCGGTAGAGTGCCCGGCGGTCTCGAGTTGTTGGTCGCCGGTGGTTTCGTGTCGGTCACCGGGTAATTGCCTGGATTGGGTGAGGGTGATGGCCAGGCAGGCTAGCAAGGCGAAGGCCAGTAGGCCTCCTTTGTGTTGCGACATTTTGTGTTCTTTGTGAATGGAATGAATCGATTGATGTCGAATCGATTACTGATTGATTTGGATCGAGTCGCCTGCATATTTATAGCGAACGAATTTGTTTGGAAATGGCCTGCTAGATTTTGCGGTCGAAACTTTCACGGATTGTTTTTTGTATTTTTTTTTTAGGGAAATGTTGATGCAATTTTTCGATGTGTTGGTAATAGTTTCGGTTCGTCGCGGTGACTAGATTTGTTTGTTTAACGTTCCTTTTTTTTTCTTCTTTCTAATTCGATTTTATTATCGAATAAGTTGCATTTTATTTACATAATTTTTGCGAAATTTCAAGGTGTAATTTTTCGGATTTTCCGGTTGATTCGGTTTGAATTGTTATTCTGTGAAGAAATTATTTTCGCGTTCGGTTTTTATTAGAATTGTTAATGATTGTTAATAAAGTGTTAAAGAGGTATAATATAGATTGAATTGTAATATTACTAAAACAATACATTCTACTAAATCATAGAGTGCTTCAATGAATCACGGCCTACGCGGTAGTTTATAAATAACAATAAAATCGATAACATTAATTTGATTAGTATACTATTTTTTTTCGTTCATTAAATTGACTTCCTGTAATTTATCGATTATTCGAATATATACGATCGAAAGATTAATTTAATTTAAATTTATTATTTTTTAATATATTTATTCATTCGATAATCTGTTTTTAATCAGTAATTTTTTGTACAATTAACGAACAATTAATTAGCATTATATATATGGTTAGTGAGAGAAAATACCGCAAAAGAGGAAACCGGTAGGAGAGAGAAAGAGAGAGAGAGATAGACGAATTGACGTTATTTTTCCCTAATCTTTATTCATTTATTTTAAGATGATAAGAGAAAGAAATTCCCAAGCCTCAGAAAATCGAGATATCGGGGAGCCGATAAAACAGGGCCGGTCTGGCCCATTTTCAACCCCACTTATTTTATCTCATTTTTACCACTTTACCCTTTTACTCTTTTATTTTACCACACTTTTTACCCCCATTTTTTTTAGTTTTCTCTAGTTTTTACCCCAGTCTTTTGTACCACAGTTTTTTGGCCAGTTTTTACCACATTTTTCGCCAATTATCCCTCCAATTTTTACCACTCTGTACGGTCGATAAAAACGGACAAAAAGTCCCTTTAATTACGGCCCTGTACTTACCGAAACCACAGCAATTAATCCGCTTAATATATATCAACATTCATAATATATGTAGGTATATTAATATTCACAGCCAACTAATAATAATTTTCCCTTATCGAAAAAAAAACCAAACGATAGATTAAAATCTCGCACAAACTAGATTACAATTTTAATACATTATTATTACACATTATTAATTACACATTTACCCGGCGTATATGTAATACGTGCATTGAAAATTACGTAGAAAATTCGGAAAAAAAAATCGGAACATTCGCGAAAAATTGTGAAACAAAAAAGATGTCTTTTCTCATAGAAAACATCTTGAATAACACGAGAAAATCCGGTGAAACATCGACACAGGAACAAAGTAAAATGACAAGCATTTTCACCTGTCAAAATGACAGTTCGAATCGAGTACGAAACGATACCTTTGCAGGTGAAAATGACAGTTCGACGCGAGCACCTGACAGCATTTTGCACAGGACTTTAGTGAATAAATTCGCGGATTTCAGACGGGAATCGCCTTCTCCTGCGGGTAATTACCGGCACTTTTGCTACGACCCGGTGCATTTGAACTACTACAGGAACTTCTGCGAAACGGGTAAGTTTAGTGATAAACTAGGAGCAATTTTTTTTGAAAAATCGGGTTGCTTGATTGAGAAAAATAAATAAATTTTTAAGCTTGTTTTTTTCATAGTAGGTTTTGGTGTTTTTAATCGAAGCCAATTTATCTTAAAATAATCCCTTATCAAATATTTACTACTATCAAGCGAAAAATAATTGCTACTGTAATATTATCCTTTTAATCCTCAAAGCAAACAAATAAAATAACGAAGATATTAATATCGATATATATCCATTATTAAAAATTTTTGGTTCGAAAATAACGAAAAAAATATAGCAAAAAACAACCAATTTTTAAATTCTATACGACCAAATAAAAAAAAAATCAAAAAAAAATTTATTAGCAGAGCGTGGTTTCGATCCACGGACCTCTGGGTTATGGGCCCAGCACGCTTCCACTGCGCCACTCTGCTCTTACGCATTCTTTTCCCAAAACTGGTATTAAAGTTACCCGCCTAAATCCAACCGCTCTCCACCGTAATAACCGACGAGCAAAAGACCACAGTCATTCTAAAACAGTTTATTCTCCCATTCTAGATTATTCCCCGTTGGAAAGGCACAAATCCTGGCCCTCGTACGAGTCGCACTATCTCTCCTACGCCTTGGGATACAAGTATTTGTACAGCCCGAGCAAGCGAAAAGGGGGCCAAGTGAGGTTCACCGGGGGCCAGACGGAGGTTCTGGAGAAGCGATTTTGTGCCAATAAGTACCTTTCGCCCGAGGAGAGAAAGGTTTTGGCGAGGTCTTTGAGCCTATCCGATCGACAGGTAAGATATATGTGTATAAAATTGGTCAAGAAGGCCGCGAATTGGCTGGATTAGAGGCCGATTGGGGGTTGTTTATTTGATGGGGGTTGTTTTAATGATTTATTTTTTTTGTTTTTCAAGGTGAAAACTTGGTTTCAAAATCGCAGGGCGAAATGGCGCAGGAGCAATTCGTCGGGAGAAGATGGAAATTCCGTGGAAAAATCGCCTGGGGTTGATTTAATTGAATAAAAACGATTTTTAAGTAAATTACTTGTTTTATTTATTCGAGAAAAACGAAACCGAACCTTTTCTTCTACGTAATATTACTAAAAATCTGGTAATATTACTAGATTTTTCACTACTTTCTTTACTAGATTCTTTTAAGTGCTCCAGAAGCACTTAAAACGGTTTAGAATCATTTAGAACGCTCCGGAAGCATTTAAAACTGTCTAGAACCCTTCAGACCCATTTAGAAAGCTGTGGGAGGTTTCAAGTTGGGATTATATATAAAACATATTGGTTAAATAGTTTTGATGCTTTCAGCATTTTTATTCAAATAAATTATACAATAATTTAATAACGAGCCTTCGATTTGGCGAGTCGAGTTCAATCCCTTTCAGGTGGAACGACTTGCAGTAGTAATTGAACATAGTAGGTGACGTTATCTGGAATAGTAAAATAAATTTAAATGAACAACCGATATCGATTCGCGTGCGATTCGGGCTTACTTAAAAACGATGTGGGTCGTTTGTTCTTGTAAATGCACCAATAATAAATCAGAAATCCAATAAGCATGAATCCCAAAGCCATTAGATATTTGGGCGTCGGTTCCAGTACGATCGGTATTATGCTCAGATACAAAGCGACTAGTAATATCAAAACTGGAATAAATATCGGAACCTGGAAAGGATTTGGTATATTAGAAACTTCTTATACGATTTAGTAGGCATCACGGCCCTATATTTCTAAGGTCTGGAAACTTCCTATGCTTATGCATTAGAGAATAATTTGAATAAAACTAAATATTAATGCTAATTCTACATAATTCGTACGCAAAAAACCGGAGTCCTTTACAACATCGCCTCCTATCGGCCGTTTTAGGAACCCTGTTTTATCTTCAAATAACGAGACACTTTTTCCATCTATATTTCCAGACCTTAGAAATATAGGACCGTGCATGTAACTCACTTTATAAGGCCGTTTGGCGTCCTTCATGGTCCTCCTCATGACGATCAACGACACCATAGCGAGCCCGTAGAAGAACCAAATCAAAAAACTGGCGAACTCGATGAGCTCCAATATCTCACCGGTCGAAATAAACACGAACGAAATGAACCCTTGCAGTATAACGGCCGGCGATGGCGTCATCTTCGTATAGTGCACGTACGACAGGCTCTCCAACATGAAACCGTCCTGGCCCGAGACGTAGCACAATCTGGAACAATCCATGAAAAACCATATACAACATGAGAAAATAACATGGCAAGTTCCTATAAAGTTTCTTCTCCTACTGGCCCCTCAGAGCCTCCTCTTTCTCTCACCATTCAACCAAACCAATGAATTGTTTATTGTTTGTCATTTTCATAGCCTCCTCGATTAATCGATTAATCGTTTCCCATTCTCAGAGCGTCCTTTTTCAAGGATCGATTCGCGCGGTTATTCGGTTAAAGCATATACATATAAATATATTTATATATTATTATATATATTATATATATTATACATATATATATATATTTATATGTATATGGGTTAAAGTTATATAGTACCTGGTGACGCCGAATTGCAGGCTGAGGGCGCAGCCGAAGGTGCTGAGCGCGACGCCGACGGGAATGATCGTGGAAAACGAGCCCAAAATCCTTTCGCCGAAGACGACGGCGACCGCCGGGGCGCTCACCAGCTCATCGTAACTCAACACCGCCATATAAGACACGTTCATGAACACGTACAAAGTGGTCACCAACGGTACCGCTATGTAAATGCTTCTCGGTATATTGCTGGAATTGTAATTTATACATTTCTTTTTACGTAAATCGATAGAGTAGTTTGCTTACACTTCGGGTTTCTTCAGTTCTTCGGTGACCACCGTGACCGATGACCTGCGATGTAGAAGGCGATTATTCGAAAGGAGTTCTATATAATAGCTAGTGACCACGGTCGTATATTTCTAAGGTCTGGAAACAGTTTATACTTATGCATTAGAGAATGTATTACGTTATTTGAGGACTTTTTGAGCTTCATTTTTGCGCCTGCGCCGTGGCGAATCAATCAGCGTCGCGCTACATATAAATCGCGGTTGTTGTGAAACGACAGTTCGAGCTGTCAAAACTTTTCGAGGAGAAAATGGTGAAATGCATTAACCGAAGATACGTGAGGCATGATGTTAACAACAAAATCATCGCTAATGTAAGTATATTTTTATATTTTGTATCTATTTTTAGTATGAAAAAAACCTATGTTTCCAGACCTTAGTAATATAGGACCGTGGGAGTGACTTACCAACCGTCGAAGGCCCACAAACCGCTGTAGAAGGCCATCGCGAGGTCCCTGGGGGACGTGGTTGTGTCTTGGAATCCCCTAGATAGGTGCTCGTTGTTCCCTTGGGCTATCCGGTAAATGCCGCAGAATATCACGATGAGACAGGCCACAATCTTGCAGGAACCGAATATGTTCTGGACCTTTACGTACAACTTCACGCTGCTCACGTTTATGTAAGTGGTCACGCCTGCAAAACCGTCGGATATACAGCGTGTTGATTAATAGGTGAATCGATTTTATTAAATAATTGAATCTATTTAAGTTCCTGAGATTATAAAAGTGGCCAGCCGAAACGTTAAAGGCCGACAGTATTGACAATTGACAGGAGAAAAAGACGAGATGGCGGTTTGGTTTTGATTTTTGATTTTAATAACGTTGGAGTTTTCTAAGATGTTTTTGAGTTTTCTAAGATGTTTTTGAGTTTTGAATGAGTTATTTATCGTATATGTAACAGTAGTTAATCGGTTATTAAAAGTAGATGAACTATAATTTGTACTACTTATAGTTCAACCATACCTAAGGCAACGAGTGCGATGAGTTTGATAACGTTTTCCTTTACAGCCGGATTGTCTCTGATGCAGAAGACGTCGAGCAGCGGTTCGCAGAAGTACTGCGAAAAGGTCAACGTCAGAATGGCGATCTCCGCCGGTCTGATCACCATGATCATGATCCAGGAGTAGATGAAGGCCGGAAGGTGGCCCCAGAACTTGTGCAACGGTCCGAACGAATCGATGAAGTAGGCGTATTCGGAGCCCGAGCGGGGCACGAGCGTGCCCAATTCCGAGTAGGCTAGGGCGCCTGCAAGAAACGTTTTTGGAGAAAATCGATTGTTTCTTTATATGATGAGGTAGGAGTGGTGGATTTGGGCGTCAACGGAGGCGGTAAATTGGGCGCCGAGTGTATTAATTTATCAATATCGAATTGAAAAAGACCTTTAATGCTTGGAGTCCAATTTACCTACAATATTAAAACCTCTAATCCCTTTGACGCCCAATTTACGTTATTTCGGCTTTATTAGAGCTTCAATAGAGGCAATTTAGAGTACTCGTTATTTCTAATAACTTAACGATCATAAAAAATAATTAAACCATTTATCGAGCACTTTACATTAATTTATTAAATTAATTGCCTCCTTTGTACTCCAATTTTTTTTCTTTCACCCATTCATTATAATTCCCGCGCAATCTGTTTTATTATTCTCGTTCAATGACTCAATGTAACAACGGCTCATTAACGATAAAATCGATATATAAATTTATTTATGCCGAAGCTATTATTGTCGCCAACAATCGAATGTTTATATGCATTTACTCGATTAGCCCGATAGCGGTCGCAAATCGGAAAGTTTTCACCGCGCAAAATACTCGAAAACGAAAACGCAACTAATATACAGTATGTCCCATAGGTGTCCCATAGGTGTATATATTCACCTAGCAACGATATCAAGCCGCAGGAGGTCCAAACCACCAGACACATGCCCACCGAGCCGGAATATTTGAGTGCCGATGCGGGTGATACGAATATTCCGGATCCTATCATGATGGCCAAGATGAAATTGACCGCCGAGAACAGTCCCAGCTCTCGCTTGAGTTCCACTTTGCCATTTTGTTCGGAAATTTTGACTCCTGCAACAAACGCATAACATATAAGAATCGTTTAGAAAACTATCTAGGGTTATTTTAGAAGGTTCTAGAGAATCGTATACGAACCGGAATTTTCTTCATAATGCTTTTTAGTTGAAGTGAGTAAGATGAAGTATTGAAATATGTTGCATGGAGGTGTATAGTAACGGTGTGTAAAGCGGATTCAGAGTAGATTCAGGGGAGTAGAGTAGATTCGCAGAAGAGTATAGTCAAAGCAGATTCTACAGATTCTAGAGTCTAGAGTAAATTCAGAGTAAAGTAGAGTAGATTTAGAGGAGTAGAGTAGATTGAGAGAGGGGTAGAATAGATTCAGAGTAGAGAATTTAGATGACTTGTTTATTCATTCACAAGTTTACATTCGATTTTATTTAAATGAAAGATTTGTATTTAAATTCGTAGCCTTGCAAATTTTCTAGTAACTTTTTCGGATGTAAATCTGACTTTTTAAATCGTTCTTACTAGTTTTTAAACAAACTATAGCACCATTTAGATCGCCCCTAAATCATTTATAATTCTCCAGAACAATTTAGTACGCTCCAGAATCATTTAGAACCTTACAGAACCATTCAAAACGCTCCAAAAGCATTTCGAACTATCTAGAATCATCGATTTGAATTTAAGTTGGCAACAATTTGTAGCCTTGCAAATTTTCTAGTAACTTTTTAGGTGCAAGTTTGACTTTTCAAATCGCTCCTCATAGTATTACTTAGAGTATATACTCTCCTTGTATACTCTTTCAAACAGAGTATTATAGCAATTATTAAATTGATTAATACGCGTTAGTTGAGCATTAATATATCTAAATAAATCGAAACACTCACCCGACATTTCTCGCATTTGATTTACAAACCGTCAATCATCGCTTTCGATTAGAGAAAGAATTGATGTCTATCGGCTTCTCGGCGCTTTATCATTATCATCAAATTTCGTTTGAACGAGATTAAATAAAATACAAGTGCAAATACGAGAGCGAAGAGAGCGACCAGTTATCGCGTACCCGCTCTCGGTCATTGTGAATTGTGAATTTTGTTTGACGATGAGCGTTCAAGTTCAATTAGATAATAACTTTGTTAAATAAACGAGACAATTGTTTGTAAGAGTATCTGTATGTGTGTGTATGTGTAGCGACAGAGGACTGTTAAAAATTATGTACAAGTCGGATAAAGTTGTATTTTACACCCGTACTCTGCGCAACACATTTTTCCAAGCCTTTTGAAATCTGTATTTTAGGTCACACGATCCTGCTTCGTGTCGGTTCTTATGCGGGACACCCGGTATACGTGAACAGGTAATGGGATTAAAAAAGTAGGTCAAGGTTCGAGTGTGCTAAAAATTTAAAAATCCAGCGAGGTTTGCTTTTGCGATAAGCAAGCGATACAAAATATTTTATATTTAGACAAGCCTATCAAAAATGCATACAAACAAAAGTCCATCAAGCAAATAACAAATAAGTTCTGTACATTATGCACTATTATGCAGTTACACATGGCTGACATAAGACATAACCTAGAAAATACGTGTTACGTATAAAAAGAAAATAACAAAAAATACACAAACTACACAAATTTACGTTTATTTGATGATTAATTACACTTAGTTAATTTAAAACGGATAACTCCAAGCAATGTACAGGATGCAGGATGCTTTTTACCTAAATTCAGACGATCTAACGTAAACTATTTATGATTTTGTTTTCACTATGATTTTAATTGGTTTTTTGTTTATTTAATGTTTAATTACAACGAAAATTCAAACATAAAAATTTATACGATTAAAATGTAAAAACAAATCTACGCGAATTTCGCGCGATCAAAATCAACGATTTTTAAAAAAGAAGAAATTAAAAAATCTTCCACTTATTTGTCAATGAATTCTTGCCTTTTACTGTGAGGTAAAGAATACTTTTTGTGGCGAGCTAGTCAGCCGGCAATAAGAGGCCACTATTGCGAAATTTGACAGAAAAAAAGAAGACATTTTTCCTTTTTAAAGTTCCGCGTTTCTTCGTCTAGTGTTCTGTGTTTTGAATTAGACTTCTTCGTATATTTTTGGCCTCGGCCGTCAGGGCTATTCGGCCAATTGTCAGCTGGTTTACAGAAAACTGTATTTTTATGAAGCTGGTACTGCTTCTAAAAAATAGATGACGCCACCGATCACAGATCAACTTGATAAATATATAGATGCGTTAATGTGCGGCTCAACCAACATAGTATTTAGCATTCATTGTGTTTTGAAGTATAAAAAAGTAGAAATTGACGCTTGAAAATCTCACGGTAAAACGCGAATTTAAAATTTCGTATTAGGAGAGCAGAATGTGTGAAGAGGTTTACTCCTGATACTTATTACTCGCGCGTTCCTAATACAATAGATAGGCAACCAGAATTACCAAAATTCGATTTAATGGTTGCCTAACTTATACGAAAAGTTTTGCGTTTTTTTTCAATAAATTCGACAAAAGTTTTGCGTTTTTTTTTCAATAAACTCGAGAAAAGTTTTGCGTTTTTTTTTCAATAAATTCGAGAAAAGTTTTGTGTTTTTTTTTTCAATAAATTCGAGAAAAGTTTTGCGTTTTTTTCTCGATAAATTCGAGAAAAGTTTTGCGTTTTTTTTTCAATAAATTCGAGAAAAGTTTTGCGTTTTTTTCTCGATAAATTCGAGAAAAGTTTTGCGTTTTTTTTTCAATAAATTCGACAAAAGTTTTGCGTTTTTTTTCAATAAATTCTAGAAAAGTTTTGCGTTTTTTTTCAATAAATTCGAGAAAAGTTTTGCGTTTTTTTTTCAATAAATTCGAGAAAAGTTTTGCGTTTTTTTTCAATAAATTCGAGAAAAGTTTTGCGTTTTTTTTCAATAAATTCGAGAAAAGTTTTGCGTTTTTTTTTCAATAAATTCGACAAAAGTTTTGCGTTTTTTTTTCAATAAACTCGAGAAAAGTTTTGCGTTTTTTTTTCAATAAATTCGACAAAAGTTTTGCGTTTTTTTTAATAAAGGATAACTCGGGGTGTGCTAGAAAAGGGGCGAGGATTGTACGAGGATAGGTTTAGAAGTTGGCGTTAGGGCGCAATATTAGAACATTCGAGAATTCTTTATATTTTTATTTACAAATTATCATTATTGTATAGTATTATAAACAATTCTGTCATTATTGTTAACATTTGGTATAGTAAATAATTTAGATACAAACTCAGTCACTGAAATGCCCATACATTATGGTTATCAGTAGAATAAAATAAATTTTAGCGCGTCCAAAACGTTTGAGACACACACAAACATTTTGAACACCCTGTAGAGTATATGTAGAAGGAATGCAGTCGTTTTTTTTTCTTTTTCAAAGTTCTCGAAGACAAAAATTTGGAATGCTATCATTAAAATTTGTTCTCGACAATGCATTTTGGATGTATCACAATTAAAAAAAAACGTATGAAACCTACGAATTAAAGAAAAAAAATTGGTTAGTAAATTAAAAGTAATTCAAAACTTATAATAAAGCAGGGTTAAACAGTTTCAAGTTCGATGCATACTTATGCACAAATTGTTATTCTAACATATACAGTATGATTGAAAATAAAAAAAAAAAAACACCGAACAAACATCGAAATTAATAAAAAAGGAATGTCCGTACGGTAAAAATGTATTGCTCGCTCGCACAAAACAAGGGTCCTTCCAAATTTTTAGTCTCAGAACACCCAGTTTTATTACAATGGAAATATTGCTCTTATTGAAAATAAAAAAAAACCATGAGTATTTTTCACATCGGCCGGATCATCCCAAATTCTTATTCACATATAGGGATTTACGACGCGTATACAGCCATTTTGGAATTATTATTATTATTATTATTACAACGAAATAGAAGAAAAAATTAAAAATTATACTTTAAAAATTTCAACAACAACAATACTAAATAGTCAGTTTGAATAATTGGCACGAGAAAATTATCTATAATGTTGCGTTTTTTTTATTTATTTAAATATAAATTAATTATAAGGATCACGATTGATTGCCAACTGTTCGATGGGGCGCGATACAGATTTGTTGCATTTCTTCATCAATAATTATTTATCGATTTAATAAAAAATAGAGAAATTTGATATAACGAACAATACGAACGCACTGTATCAGAATTAATTTTGATTATAGATTACATACATATAGATACAGCGTGTCCCAATGAAATGTTGCCCATTTAATCAGCATTTCAGGGCTACTATTCATTGGGACACCCTGTAAAATAAGTAATGAGTAATGTAATACTCGATAATTTATCTACAATTAGACAAATGGCGTTGAACTAGTAAAATTACATTACTAATTACCGAAATTCCGCGATATATTTATACAGAGTGTCTCGGAAAGACGACCAGTATGACTAAAAACGAATTTTCGTTAACATCAGACTTGAAGAAAAACATCCATCATAAAATAGCTTAAAATAGAACATTTTTTTTTATATACAATACTAGTTTGAAAATTACAACAGGGGTAAAAAAATACACTTGTAAACTACAAGAAATTTAAATCGAACGTTTCAAACAATACGAAATTTTAGATATGATTGTAATATTTAATATTTTTCAAATCAACAGTAAAAATATTCAAACGATATTTTATAACAATACGCGAGAAGATTTTTGCTTAAACTTTTTCTCTTATAAATTAGTCAATATGTTGAATTACATTTCTATAATTGAAATATACAATTAATGACTCGCGCACATCCAATTTTTATAATCTATTAACAGTAAAAATCTTATTACCCTGCCTATGTAATTATTACAATTTACGATTTCTTTTTTTTTGACATCACAAGTAATTAATGCAAGAGGCGCTATATTTGATGCAAATGTCACATTTCACCAACATCTAATGTCATGGATTAAATTAGTTTACTGTTAAATAGAAAATTATTACACTACAACGAATCCGAGAGTATAAATCGAAACATTTGCGCCTTATACAGGTTGTTTCAAAAAAAAAAAGGTTCCCCTGTTCGAGGGTAGGTAGAACTTTACAAAATAAATACAACAGAAAAATTTTTACAGAGCAAATCCCGCTTATTTCGTAATGTTCGAACTACCCTAGGAAGGGGGAACCTTTTTTTCGAAACACTCTGTATGTAGTCGATGGAATTTCGCCTCTTGCGAAATTTAATGTAACGAAAATATTCGAGGCGTTTCGTAAAAGCACGTCGAAAATTCTCCTATTAGAAAAAAAAAATAATGTCAAGTACAATAATCCGACAAAAACTAACATTCTCAGATGCGATATCACATAACAGGTGTGATTAAAACATTTTTCTTTTCTCTCCGGACGTTAAGACGATAAACAAAGTTCATAATAATAATAATAACAATAAATAAATAAAATGCAATGTCTATCAGTCATCCAAGCATAGTATCGATAATATTAAATAAAAATTAACGGGCGTCTTCGACAAGAATGTCAACGATTTCTTTTTTTTCTTTCTAACTTAAATTACTAGTCAATTCCCCATCCACTTACTAACTAACCCTGCTTTAGTATAAAAAAAAAAACAACATTTTTAAAGTCAAATATTACCATAATGTCAGAATTGTCCAAACTGAAAGCGACTATTATTAATTGTAAATCTAAAGAATCTGTAAAAAAAAAATTAAAAATACAGTGCACTCCAAATGATTGCGAATTAATATACAGAATTACTTGTTAAATATAAAAAAATCCGAATTAACAACTATCAATATTTATCACTTTTAATTGGAAGAAAAAACAAACACGGTGTTTTTAGAAAAGTATAAAAATCACTACAACATACGAACTCTGTTTATCGCTACTATCCTTCTAATATAACAATAATTTAAAATATTTTCAATCGATTCCAACGTGTCCCTTGTTAAGTATTTCACATTTTCTTATATACACAACAACAAACAAACAAATAATAAAAAAAAAAAATTAAACAAATCACCACGGCATCGAAATCCCGAAAAATCATACAGTTGAGTACCTCAATAGTACTCCCGACCAATCGTATGTATACCTTATTACAGTTCAGTTTCAACTCGATATAAAGTGACTGATCCGCGCCGCTGATATTTCAATTTGACATGACTCCTGCACCATTTTTCATAACATCGACGGATCAGTCACTTTATACCGAATTTGAACATGATACAATAAGAGTAGATACGATACTGGGCTAAATCGCTATTAATCGGTACATATTCCGTTCAAACCATAATGGGATCCTCGCCGCAATCCTCCGAACACTTCGATTCGCCCGACAAATGCCTTCGCAAATTCGACACCGCGTTCCCCGTCGATATCGATCTGACGATCGGCCGTTGATTTTGATTGTTGTGATTGTGCCGTTTCTCCGACAAACAGGTGAGATCGTCGAGACTGCCGTCGCCGTCGGTCGATAGCATATCGTCGTCGGACGTCGCGTGCGTCAATATCGGCAGCGTCGATGTCAAATGCTCCTAACAAACAACAAAAAATTATACAATCCTTGTAAATAGCAATATGGTTATTGGTTATTATTTATTTATTTATTTATACATATAAAACTACAAAACAACATTAAGTCGGTACAGTAGAGTAAGAAGAAAAAAAAATATAACATTATATAGATATTAAGAATATAGAAAATAAATGATAAGGTAAAGATCTAGAACTCTAGAAATCTAGTTAAAAATAAATGGAAGAAAATAAGCGATCGATTATTTGTTTAAATATTTCTTGACTTCAGTTTTAAATCTGTCCATCTTTTTTAAATTTCTCAAAGAATTTGGAAGTTCATTAAAGTTACGTTTGTTCCTATAAAAAGTCACTGATTTGTTACCAATCAGTTTTCGACTCTTCTATTTCGCATGCTTTAAACGAAAAAAACTGTCAATTCCATCAACTTTAAATTTGACAAATAAATGTCAGAACCATAGCAACAATTCATTGATAAAAAGCTTTTACCATTCAAAAGTTAAAGGGAAGGCGACGGACTTTTGGTCCTAACTGTATAAACTGCTCCACAAAAGTTAACAAAGTTCGCAAATTTAGCGATTATTTTAAAAGTTACAGACTTTTTGATCACCAAATTTTCAAATACGCTTAATTAAAATGTTCCCTCTCATATCCGAATGGATTTTTTTGTCCCTACCTCTATACAACTCCTGCAACTTTTAAATTAAATCTCAACATTCGCAACTCGCGCGTGCAGAGCAGTACAAAATACAAGCAATCGAACAATTCCGTTTAGGTAGTTTACGGTACCTTCTCCTTTTGTATCTCCTGTATGTGATCCTCGAGCAAATGTTCCTCGTCGTCGGTGGGCTGTCGATCAACCGGCCGATCGGTCGGCATCAATTCGTCGGGCGTAAAGACTTTGCTGCTGCGCAAACTGCTCAACCGATTCGTCGCCGCCTGACAGGCCGTATCCAACGTATCGATGTCGTCCAAGGTGTTGCGCACCTTGCGCAATTGCACGCCGATGATCGTTTCGATGCACCGCGTTTGACTGCTGATGTCGACCAAGCTCTCCTGCGCCGGCACCAATTTGTTCGTTCGCAACACGCACGGCGCGAACACGATGGCCAGCGAGGCCGACGACATGCGATTGGTTTCCTCGTGGAGGGCGACGCGCGCCAAATGGAACATCAACCGTTCCATCAGATCGTAATTGGCGGGCGGTAGTTTTTTGAGGATGTCGTAGAGCGTGGCTACTCGATCGTTTTCCACCGATAGATTGGCGGCGGTGATGAAGTTCTCGTAGCATTCGAACGTCAACAACGGTTCGGGCATTTCGCGCAGGAAGCTCTTCAGCACCGAGGCAAGCACGTGAACCTGCGGACGTTACAACGAATTAAGGCATTTTTTTTTAAGGAAGAGAGTTCTAGATAATGAGGTCACGAATGGGTTAAAAAGGCTAATCAAAGTCAGGTAGACTTCGATAGAAGGTCCTCAAGTAGAATAAGCATTTCACAATATTCATATATTCAACAATACCTTTTACACGAGTAGGTATTTGGTATATCAGCATTCACCTAGTTATTAAAGAAATATTGCTTACTTGTTAAAACGTTTAGGGGGGAAATATAAAGGGATTAGAATATATCCTCGGATTGAATTACAATCGTTATGTTATAGTAATTCAATTACCAAACCTCAACAACTCGAGTATAATACAATCGAATGGACTTGGTAGTGACATCTTACCTGATATCTTTCGAATTCGACCTCGTCGGGATTCTCGTCCATCCTATTCTTCAATTCCTTAATCTTCGAACTGACGCCGCTCTTCCGATAGATCCCTTCGGCGTACAAACCGTGCAATTCGATGGTGCTCAACAATCGCTCGATCACCAACGGTATTTTGCTATCTTCGGTGACCAACGTCACCAACGGTACGCCGAACACCTTTTTCGTTTCGCCCTGCATGCCGGCCTCCTTCGAACAAACGTTGGCATTGACGTAGCATTTCTTGTGACAGGTCATCTTGCAACTTTGACAGACCAAACCGCGTTCGATGGGCCACATGAAAAACGAGCTGCATATCTCGCAGGCGGTCGGTATGTTGATGATGGTCAACAGGAACGTGTGACCGTTGTGTTTGACCGTCTCCAATTTACGTTTCTTTTCTTTCTTTCGCTTCGATTTGCTCGGCTTCTCTTCGGCCCTCGTCGACATGAATTCGTCCATGAAGCCGCGGAACGCGTTCACGCCCATCGTCACCGGAAAATCTTTGGCGTCGTTCAGCTTCAATTCGCGCTGACACACCGTCTCCATCGCCTTTAAAAACACACAACCACAATTTAGTCAACTAAAAAAGCTCAAATTCTACAACGATTCACAATTCACCTGATTGAAAACCAAAATGAGATCCTTATATTTGATGTTGCACGTCTCCAAGCTGTTGTGCTTGTTGGCGTTGCTGTAGATCTGCACCAAGTTGTCCTTGAATTCTCTCAGCGCCTGCTTGAACGTTTTGTCGACGTCGCTATTTTTGCCGCCGACCGATTCCATCTTCATGATCTTGTCGGTGATGAATTGCTGCATCAACGTCAGCTCTTCGGCGCCGGTGATGATCTGATCGGTGCGATCGGTGAACTCCGACGTGCCCGTCAGGCTGAATTTGCTCTCGTCGTGTTTGCGCAGATCGTAGGGGGCGCGCGAGTGCTTGCGGTGTTTCCGCCTGCCGCCCGATCGTACGTCGGCCGTCGCTCTTTGTTCGCACGGCATTTCGAACACCTACAAAAACGATTTAGTTAATAAGTTAAGTCGCCGAACGCTCGGAAAGGACGTGGTAAAAGGCCGCAAAAGAGATGCGTTCGCCGAGTGCACGTTCGGAGCAATTCGGAACAGCGCAAAAGAACGTTAAAATGACACAAACAATACGCCGTACGTCAATTTGGATAAGTTCCAAAATGCCGGACGATTAGCATTATTAAATCGCGAGTCGAAACGAATTTAGCCCGGGGGGGAAAAACGACTCGCCGTTTTCTAGTAATAAATCAAACGACTTCTATACCTTATTCTGTATGCATTTCGTGTGAAATTGTTTCTTGCAATTGGTGCACTTGTAGCCGGGCGTGTAGAACGCGTCCAATTCGGCGTTGCAAAAGGCGCACAAATCGTCCTTCGATATCCTCGGTATTTTCCTGAACGAATGACCGGCGATCGACAGGGCGTTGACGTCGTACTTGTAATCGTTGGTTTTTATCGATGGGCTCGATTCCAAACCGGACGGATGGTCCGAAACGACGGCCTTCGTCGCCGGATCGCTGTTCCTTCGGCGCAAATCGAGCTGCGGCAGATTCTGACGTTGTCTTTTCGGCGTCAGGTTTTGCTTGTTCGCGCCCGCCTCGCTACCTTTCCTACAAAAAAAAAAAAAAACTCAATTAATTAACGCCATGTATATTTCCGAATTTTAAACATGGCAACGCTGCTAATTTGAATGCTTAAACAAGATAAAAGTGAGGCTAGTTTTTCTTATTGTCATTCTTCTGCCATTTAGAACGCTCCAGAATGATTGAAAACTCTCAAGACTCGTTGGGAACGATTCTCAGAATCACTAGAACAATTTAGAAGCCTTCATCATCACTTAAAACTCTCTAGACTCATTTAGAACGCTTCATCATCATTTAGAACTCTCTAGACTGATTTAGAACGCTTCATTATGACTTAGAACGCTCTAGACTCATTTAAAACGCTTCATCATCATCATTTAGAACTCTCTAGACTCATTTAGAACGCTTCTTCATCATCATTTAGAACGCTCTAGACTCATTTAGAACACTTCATTAACTAACACCATGCATAATAACAACGAGACTCGCCTCTCTTGTACGACGTATTCGGGATGCGTTTTCAACTCCTCGATGGTACCCAAAAACACGCCCTTGTCCAAGCTCGAGCTATCGGTGACCTCTTCGCCCAAGCTCTTCACGTGACCCCTCTTGGATTTCCTCGTATTCCGCACGGGCGCCTCCGGCCTGCCCAATATCTGGTCCACTTTGCTCGGCGTCTGATCGTACGGATAGACGTCGGTTCGGCATTCGGCGAAGTACTTTTCGCGCTGGAGCCGCCTCACCGGCTGGTAACTTCTCAGATGATTGTTGTCCGAATGCCTGGAATTTCAAAGCGAAACCGATGATAAGCGGATCTAAAGGCGCGTCTCACGAATTACTAAATTTAGTTACTTGCATGGACGTGGGACGAATCGATTTAGTAACCAATTTGGTAAACTACTAGTCTACACCATACAAGATAGGAATTGCTATAGATGCGTCCCTTCATCTCTCGCTACCCGAACGTTAGCTACGTATATACGAATACAAAGCAAAACGAATGGAGAATTCAGGACGAACGATAGATCAAATCCTACTTTGTAACCACGTTTTTTTCTAATAATTTACCTGGCGTCTTTCGCGTGCTGGACGGGCACGCAATTGTTGACGGCCTCGGTGCGGGATAGAGGTTGTTTCATGTAACATTCGCGCGCGACCGGTTTCTTGTGCCAAAAGGAGCGGTCGCGGGCGATTATCGGCGGCGCCGAACGCGCCGTCGCGACGCCCGACGACGTCGTCGAGCATTCGGAGAACGTTTCGCTGGCGGTGCTCGTCGACGACCATTGCTTGTCCAACGACGGCGATGGTTCCTGTTTGAGCGATTCGCGTACCTAAAACACAACGATTTTTAAATCTTTTGGTCTCGAAAATATGCTCTTTAATAATTATAAAGTGAAAAAAAAATTTACCGTTACGCTGGAATGGGAATCGGAGCTTTGTTGCGATTCGAGACTCCGTTGGGAACCCAACGAATCGCCGCTGCCCTTCCGTTGGGGCGTGTAATCCAAATCGGAGAAATCGATCGTTTGATGGGACTTGGGCGTTCGTTTTTTGATCGCTTCCAACGTGATTTTCTCGGGTTTTACGTCGTCGAATCTACATAATAATAATAATAATCAGCTTTATTGAAATCAAAATAACTTCATCAAAAGTACAAAATAGGCGAAGTTTAGCTACAAAAGCTATTCTTACACTTAACCTACCATACAAAGCAAAAATTAACATAAAAAAAGCAAAGGTTTTAGGTCGTTTGAGAATTAAATTATTATTAACATTACCTGTAATTTCCGAGATAATAATAACCGGTGGATTGTTGCGTTGACACGCTCGGTAATGAAACGGTCGATCTTAGGCTCAATTTAGCGTGAGAAGTTGTATCGATGTCGTCCTCCGGTATACCGCTACTTCTGCAATATTCATAATACATTATTACACCCAAAATCCACAAGGAATTTTTCGAACGAAACATTATCTTTTACTTACTCGTCAGAGTCCAATATTTTCCTTTCGATCGGATCGGTTCGCACCTCTTCGAGGCTGGAATCTTTACTGACGAACGCTTCGTCGGAACTTCCGTGTTTTACTTGGAGATGAGCGGGAAGCGCACTGGCGATCTGAAAAAAAAGACCAATTTAGTTTTAACCCCCGGGCATATTGATACGTTTAAAAGTTAATTCTGAACGTACAGGGTGGTCCAGCACTGGAAACGACAAAATGGAGATGCCGAAAAACATGAAAAAGTTCTTCCTTCGGTCCATTTTTCCTTGAAATTTAACTATTACTGGGATTGATCGATTATAAAACCTCTTTGGCATCTCCATTATCATTTCCATAATCCCTTCCACGTTGTCGCACTACTTCTAAACCACCCCGTATATATATTTCTTTAATCACATACCTGCATTCTTCTATGTTGAACATCTCCTTTCACTTTGATGTATCTAATCGTTTTCCTAACTTTGTAACCCCTACAATGGGCTTGGAACAACACCAGGCTAATTTTCAATTTCTCCATCCAACACCTGTTCTTGTAGCCCCGCCAATGTTTCTGGATTTTCAAAGCCGCTTGCATTCTTCTCGCGTATTTTTGCACCAAATACATCCTAAAACGAATATCATATAAACGAAACGACCGACGATAAAATATACCCAGTTCAGTTTGCAATATCGTCATTACTGTGAGTTGAACAAACATTATCAAAATGACGGTTGTTAGAGTGAGAAAGTTGCAATGACGCAATAGTTCATATTTGATACTAGACAGTTCTAAATGGTTCTGGAGCGTCCTAAATTGATCTAGACAGTTCTGGAGCTTTCTAAACGGTTCCAGACTGTCTAAATGTATCTAATGGAAGTTGTTTTTGTTGCGCCCGTAGACTATATTGCAAACTAAAACGTTACAACGTTTACCTGCAGTAGGATTGCAATGTAACAACGGCGTCTCTGATCCGCAGGAATCTCCTTCTATCCAAACACGATCTGAACCACCTTTGTAACGTCACGATGCTCGCCATGATTTGTTGGTGAAGTTTACAGTCTAATTTGTACTTTTCGCTTTCTCTCATAAACACCTACGGAGCGAACAATCGAAACGTCAATTCCGCTATTAAATTCATCAACGTTATCAAAAATTTCACCTTCGTACCGCCCAGCTGGTAATTGTCCCTGTTCAAATTGAGCGTCGCCAAGAAATCCCTAACGTCCAATTGGGAACTGAGCAGGCCCTTAGGCAACAGGATCCTGTACAATTGGATGAATTCGTCGTAGGTCAATCGAACGTTGAAGCCGGCTTGTCGGATTCGAACGGTTTCTAGCATACCGGTGTACCGCAATTGCCTTTGAACGGTACCCTCGTCGAACGTATTCGGTATTTTGTTACCTAAAAAAACCCAAATCGTTTATGTATTTATGCGGCAAATTGGCATTGAACAATAAAACGAGTGATATGTATATAACGTACCGTTCGATTTGATGCATCTGATAAAAAACGGATTCGCCTGATTGAGAGTATCCATGAGCGAGTGAAGGCTTTGTTGGAATTGAGCGGTGACCGTCATCGGTTGTTTCCTGCCCTTGCCCAATTGCCCTTGCGGTTGGGCGGCGATGCCCGTTCGACCGACCAACGTTTTCACCGTTTGCAAATTCTTCAGGCCCTTTTTGCTGCGCTCCCTCGGCCTGAACGATTTGTTTTTCCTATATATGGGCCGAAAGCGAAATGTTCGTTAATGCGGCGTTTGTAATTTCGAAATGTACTAACATATCCTCGCGATACTGACGCGAGAAGTTTTTTAGTGGCAAGAGGATATCGAGTTGTGTTCCTTTTGATAACTGGTAAACGGATAACAAACTAACGAAAAATGAGACTTTATTCGATGGGTACATTTAACTGTCTAATAAAATTAGACAATTTTTGTTTCACCAACATCATCTGATGAAGAAACAGAGGCGCTGAATACGGGCCAAAATATTTCGTTGAAGTTTAATTGTTATTCATCGAATAACAAGAAATTAACAGTTGGTAGAATTGGCAGCGTTACCAACTAATCGAGTTACGAAAAGAAACACTTCGAGTAGTAAACATGCTTTCTGTTACATGCAAATTACAGTCGTAATTAACAGTAATATTACAAAAAAAGAAAAGTATGTTAATAGAGAATACGTACGGTGAGGACCAAAAGTCCGTAAAAATGACAGTTAAAACTTTCAAAATGACAGTTAGGTGCCATTTTGAATCTATTTTTTCTTATGAAATGGGGGTCCTCACCGTATATCGAAGAAGTAACAATTTAACCACCACCGTCGCAATCACCGAATAAGGTAAACAATATTCTCCCCATATATACCGAGAGATTCCAAAGAAAAAATGTTGAACAAAACGTACATAACGATCTGATTGGCCCTTTGTATGGCTCTGGCTTCGTCGGGCGCCAAACGATCGAGGCCAACCGAAGCGTTCGGACATCCCGTTAAGGAAACGTCCTTTCTCCTTCGATCGTCCTCCGAATTTTTGCTACTGTTCGGCGTGTTGTTGTGGCGATTCCTTTGGTAGAGTTGAGGCCAGGACAATCGATTGTTAGATTGTTCGTTGTCTAAGTTTCGACCCGGTCGATTAAAGGAGACGGTGTTTCGTTGTTGTTTACTGATCGAAACGTATTTTATCATTTTTTTTGTGTTTTCGTTTATATTTTTATACAATTTCATCGGTATGGTATCGTACAATTATAGAGCATGCTGTATGTAAGACATTAATCAAACGTACATGCGATTCAAACAAGGAATCTATGCTGATGTGTAGCCATTTCTCAATACTCAAAATACTCAATTCTCCAAATTAATAAAGTCGCTTTAACGTTGAAAAAATAAAGTTTAAATATCTCTTTAGAAGTTCGGAGAATATCAAAAACGAATATAACGAATTTTGACGAATACGAATAGTAGGAAAAAGGAGAGAAATAAAAAAAAAAACATAGACGTATCCACAATCGAATTTAAAAAGCACCAAAAAAATTAACTTTACTAAAAATGTAACATTTTTATTTTAATAATTTTGGATACGGCCATGGTGATACAGGGTGTTCCAAAATTGGAGAATCACCCCCTTAAATATTAGCACGTCATTTTGAAACACCCTGTATAAATTCAACGGAAACGTCAAAATAACAGTCTAAACTTACGCAATTCTGTTTATTGTGAGATTCACAGCCGAAACTGTCACTAGATGGCTACAGAACGATCACATTATATTTTTATGAGTTTATCGTCTAATTTAATCGAATTGTAAAAAAATATATATAAAATTAAATTTAACTCGAATCTTATTAGTAACGCGAATGAGTAACTGAAATTCAAGCCGAAGCTAAAAAAATAATATAGCGCAGCTTTGTAACAATTAACCTGTTTTAATCTTATTAAACAAACTTTATCAATTAAAGAATGCAAAATAATAGGTTAATTGAATCAACAAGTAACTAAATACAAATAAACCTCGATTCGACAACCAATTACAAGAGATTTCCAATGTATTTAATTTTGTTTCGAAAAAAAAAAACGAATTAAAAAAAAAATAAAAGCGATTTCGGGGTGTGTCAAGTTGGCACCGCAACTCTAGTTCTCAGTAGTTCTGATTAGAGTTCTGGATTCTTTTTGGATAGTTTAGGAGTTCTTCTGTACAAAAAATAATAGTTCTGGTGTTTTAACACATTATTTTATATATTTTATAACGTGTTAAAACACCAGAACTATTAAATTTTGTACAAAAAGAACTCCTAAACTATCCAAAAAGAGTCCAGAACTCTAATCAGAACTACAGTTGCGTTGCCAACTTTACACACCCGCGATTTCGTATAAAATAAACCCAAAAAAAAAAAAAAAACCACCTACCTAATGAGATTCTCGTTGGGCGTGTGATTCCTCGAATACCTCTGTTGGACGTTATTCTTGTTACCGTCGACGCGACCCTGCCGTTGCTTCCTGCCCGCCTCGTGAAAAGCGAAATACGCCCGGAAAAACGCCCTGACGATGGCCCATCGAAACACCGCCACCGGATCGGCCCCGACCAATTCCCTTACAAATGCCATCGAACTGTTCTTCAACACGCCGACGATGTCCTGTCGCATCAGGTCCAAGTTCTTTTCGCGCATGTCCGTCACTTGGTATTTCACCTTGCCGGCGTAGTGGACGATGATGAAGGCGCCCTCCTTCTTCTGCGGCTTCTGGTAGAACTTGTTGTCTTTGTGGACCGAATTGAATTTCTGCAGGAGCGTTTCGTTCGTTGCACCGGGAAAACTGCAATAGGATCTCATTAGTTATTCCGTAACAACCAATGTAAAACTGTCAATTTATAAGAATGCGTCCTTAGTTACTCCATAACAACAATGACAAATCTGTCAAGTTAGAGACGCGACTTTAATGTCGTGTTAAAGATCAAAGTGTGCCTTTCCAGTGGGGAATTTTCAGAGTTTTAAAGACATTTTTTCGTCCCATTTTTTTCTACTCACTTGCACTGATCGTCCAATAAAAATATCAGACCGTTTGGTTTGCCCTCGATCAATTGCAGACACCCCGTGTTATCCATAAATTCTATATTAGTCCACCTAAAAAAATAAAACAACAACCAATAAAACAAAAAATTATCCTATCCAACGCGATCCGTTCACCCACCTGATTCCTTCCTTCCTGTATTCCTCCTGTTCGTATTTGAACACGTGCTGATTGAAATAATATTGCAGATGCTCGTTGGCGTAATTTATGCACAACTGTTCGAAGCTGTTGTTCAAACCGAAATCCTCGAAACCGAATATGTCCAACACGCCGATCGAATTGCCTTGGTGTTCTCTCAGCGTGTCCTTCTTCGCCAGCAGCGCGTGATTCACCTAAAACAAAACGCAAAAAAAAAAATAAATCCGTCAAAAACTCATCTGCAAAGACGAGAAAAACTTTTAGACGAGTCCAATTCCTAGTACAGGCTGGCCAATTAAGAAGTTCGAGTATACTTCGAACTAGATTCCGTTATCCGAAGATTAACTATCAATGTGCCTCAACTTACTTGTAGTACAATCCAATCGAATAGAGCTCCGTAGAGGCATTTAGCCATAGCATCCCGACTGGCTATGGCCTCAGGCAATCGATAATTAATCACTAACGTTTCACCGGAAGCTCGAGCTCGCTTCGCCGTCAGAGCTTGCATCAAAGTTTCCTAAAAAAAAAGCAAACACATAATCGAAGCGTTAAACAAACACCAAAAACGAATCGCACCTGTTTGACTCTGAGCAACTCCGAGATGAGCATCACCACGTCGGGATTCTTCACGCCGACGGCCTCGTCGTGATGATAGGCGCTCTTCCTCGGCTGGAATTCCACGTTGCCCAGCAAAAGGACGGCCGACAACACGGAGAACAACCGGCGTTGTTTTTCGGTGGTGAAACCGACCATCTCCATCGATTGCTTCAACCTGGAGAATTCGTAGCTCTCGTCGGTGTTGTCCAGCGCGCCGCACGATTTGTTCAGATAACAATACTGATCGGGTCGCTTCAGGTGCAATTGGAGCTTCTCCTGTTCGTTGGCGCCTGGATCAAAATAAAAAAAAACCAAACGAAATTAACGCTGGACGATTTTTTTTGTGAATCGTACGAAACACAAACCTTCGAGTAGATAGTAAAACACGTGGTAGTTTCGTTCGTGCCGGCCCTGCGAACATATCCTCGATTTTTCGAGGAGGTACTTTTGCACGACTGCCCCGTGCACCATGCCGTTTTCCTTGTAGTTGACTTGAATGAATTTTCCGAATCGACTAAAGTGGAAAACAAACAAACAAACAAACGGTATTAGTAAAGGGTGTTTCGATAAGACAGCAAAATTTAAAATGCCCGTCCTGTTTGACAGTCATAATGACGCGTTATTATAACATGACAGATCGAAAGTTGACAGTTGGGAGTTAGTAAATATGGATCATTGAATATGGATATGGATCTGGATATGGAACATAATCGCGTCTAAATTACTATACTTAATACTAACTTTTTTATTTTAACCTTTTCAATTGATTTGTTTAAAGAATATGAATAAAAATAATGTTTTCTACATATACTAGTTGATTTTCCATAAGTTTTTGTCATAATTTGAGGTTCTCTAGTTGCTCCCAAAGTTTAAAACATTTATTTCAGAAACGTCCTGTATATTTCATTTTTCTCGCGCGCCACACTGTATACCGACGATTTCGTTTAGCAATGACGATGACGCCCGGTAGGTAGTCATCGTTGCGGTGTGGAGCAGAAAACGCTGGCTCTATTCTAATAATTGCAATATAATTTTACCGCTAATTTCGCCTGAATGTAGTAAATTATTTTACAATAATTAGAGTAGCAACTTTCAATCGAGTTTTCTTCATTATTATGATTCAATCGATTCTAGGAATGGCTTATTATACAGTAGACCAAAAAAGTATTCGTACAGTTGCATTATGTTCTGGAAGTCCGCGTTCAGTTAACAGAAACAAGAAGTAACTAGCAAATTAAAATCTACATTTCAAGACTATTCTTGCAATCATTAATTAACATTGTTATTAAAAATGTAAAATAAAAAAAAACGAAAAATGTTTGCATTATCCCCAAAATAAGTATTCGTACAGCAACGTTTTATCAATTTCTTCACTCTGTAGATATTAAATTGTTTATTGTTTTCGCCGGTATATTAGTATTAGGTTGAGCTCCTAGTTCTGTTTTCAAAATAATTCAAGTTTACCTTAAAATGCCTAGAAAAACTGAAGAAATAGATGGTGACTTAAAAAAGTCATCATCCATCATTTTATAGAAGGAAAATAATATAAGGAGATAGGTAAAATTGTTCAAAAAACACATATTACAGTTCAGTACGTTGTGAAAAAATATAAATCTACTGGTTCCGTGGAAAATAAGTCAAGATCGGGAGGTACTGCCAAGTTAACTCAACGAGATCAGAATTTCATTTATCAAAAAGTTAAAAAAATTCCCTTTGTAAGTGCTCCATACATCGTTTCTGAACTGGAATCCAGTACATGGCATAAGATCCATCCGGAAACTCTTCAATACCACATTAAGCGATTAGAATATAGAGGAAGAAGACCTGCTAAAAGCCAAGGATAAATAAGAAAAATCGAAAGCTAAGAGTGGAGTTTGCTAAGCGTTACATTAATAAACGTTTAGAGTTCTGGAACCAGGTTATATTGTCAGATGAGAGTAAGTATAACATTTTTGGATCGAATGGAGCCAAATCTGCCTGTTAATTGTTTTTTCATTTGTATATTTATTAAACGGGTAATTACACGTATAATGATTATAATACGAGTGTACGAATACTTTTTTGGTATACTGTACATCTCGACGACTGTTTGCTATGTAATTAAACGGACTTTCGATTCGGATTAAACGGCATTTTACTATAATTTTTTTCTACGTTAAAAATTCGTAAAACAAATTCGGTTTCTTTATCATCAAAGTGACTCATGCGCCAAGATAAAACTACTACAAATCATTTATTTCCTCTTTTCTATCATTCAAACAAATATCCCGACGAAATTCAACCAACACACATGTTAGCAGAAAATATTTTATAACAACAAACAAACGTCCGTTTAGTTACTTTTAATCCGCTTATATCAATTATCTATTCAGTACGCTTCTATAGTCGATGCAAAACAAATTTGGACAATTTTAGAAATATCTCAGATTTTGTAAACTCTATAAAAATTCGGCAACAGTGCCTACTTGTTAGATAACCAACATTATTATTCAGGATGTCCCAATGAAAAGTAGCCCCTTTAATAAGCCAATAATTTCGTAGATATATCTTATAACTTATATCAGTTTATACCTGGAATTGTTGTTGTGGGCCGTCTTGGCGTTTCCGAAGGCCTCCAAAACGGGACCTGCGCTGAGTATGGTCTGCTCGACGCCGCTCCCGTGCGAACCCTTCTGGCTCAAAGCGGTCAAATGATGCAACAAAAAGTTCGTACTCTCCGTCTTGCCGGAACCACTTTCACCGCTGATAACGATACACTGATTTTTCCTGTCTTTGAGCATGCAATGATAGGCGACATCGGCCACGGCGAATATGTGAGGCGGCAGATTGGGGCCCAACCGTCGGTTCTGGTACAACTTCACGTACTTGGGATTGTAAATCGGATAGAACTTGAACGGATTTAAAGCTATGAGAATCGAACCGACGTACGTGTATATGTGACCGGCCACGAATCGAGCTCTCAAATTATCCAACAACGTTTGTTCGTTGAGATCGGGCAATTGGCACAAATCCGGGTACTCCCTGTCTTTCGGTTGGTACAGAAACCTGTGGAAATAGTCTTTGATCAATTGGGGATCCATAACGAACTGATCTCTCCATATGTAATCGTTGATTTTCTCTCTCAGATAGAACCTGTAGGACGAGTGATCGGGCCGGTGTTTCGGCCACAACATCATCAATTGCACGGGGCTTTCGCAGGCGTTCAGACTCCTCTCTTTGCACTCCTGCCCGAAATCGTCTCCAATCACTTCGGCCAATTCGTACGACGTGCTATCGCTCAGGCTCAATCGTTCGACAATGCACGATACGATTTCCTCCGAAGTCGTTTGCTTGCTCGCTTCCACGGACAAGGCCTCGTAGAGGGCCGACAAGGCCCCCACGTACACTTGCACTATGAAACGATTATTCTCCGCGCTATGCATCATGATCGATCCGGGGTGAATACCATCGAATTTATCGCATTATCCTTACGGTTTTAATAACCGATCGAGTGATAGATCAACCATCGTTCGAACGTGAAACCGTCGCCTGGAAATAAAAAAAAAACAGTTATTGCATTATTAATTAGGTATGTTTTTTTTTGTGTGTAATTGTTAATTAATTGTTAGTGCGAATGTAACGTTAGTCAACATAGAAAAATTTCATTAATTCTACGTAAACACTGGAATTGTAGACACTCCCAGTTTATTTGCAAGGGGGTGCGCGATGAGCGAATGTGAGCTATATATGAATGAAATAGACACGACAAAGAGGTTATAGCTTCTATATTTAGATTGAATGCTGAATGAAAAGTATTGTCTAATTAGAATTTAATTTTAGAATATGTTAGTAATCTATTAATACGAATCAAAAACGCACCGTTCGAATACAATAACAAAACCTAATCCATCAAATCAATCGTTACGATTTAATTACGAAAAAATATACAAATACAAACAACAGAAGAAGAAAAAAATCTAATTAAACGTGCGAATTGAGAACAAACCTGTGCGCTTTCCCAAACTTTTCCGGCTCCTGTGAATCATTTTCGTTATCTGGCTAACGCAAAAAAACCTAATTAATCGATAGAGGAGCCCTTATCGACTGATAAATCAGTTAATTGTTTTAAATAATCGCACGAGAGGGGTTGATAAATGCACAAATGTCAAACAGGGTCACATGTTGCATCTCCTCGCAGGCCGGGACACTGACTAAACGAATTCGAAGGATTTCGAAGCGGATTAAACGATCGGCATTAACTGGTTAATTGATATATAATTGTATTAACTGATTTGATTCCGCGCAATGGCAACATAATAAACAACCCGAACGGTATGAATTATCTGGTGGAATTCCGCCCAGTCGAGAGTCTTCGCGTATTATTTGAGCACTGGTTTCGCGAACTATACCACAGACGATCACTACGTATTTAGAAGTTCACTCGAAACTCGAATCACAACCGTAAAGATTTTCGTTTTCATTTTTATTAACAATTTAGCCTACGTAGAGAACTATAACCGCCATTTTTATTTGTCTGAAGGCGAGTTTGCAAAGCAGAAGATACCACGTTGCCAACTTACAAATTAAAAAATCACCAATAATTTTTTAAACTTTTTTTTTATTAACCGTAATAATGTCGAGAATTGATGTGTTCAGAATATTGCAAGTTGCTATTTATTACAACGCAAATCATATCAAATACTTCAAAAACTTGAATAGGATGTTGTAATAGATTATAAGTATTATCTATCACGAGTCATCGAGATTTTTTTTTGATCGTGGCAACGATGCAAAGGAATTTCCTAGTTACCCATTCTCCTATCGAGGACAGGTCACGTGATCGCCGAGCGCGCGAATTTTGAATTTGTACCTAATTTTTCAAGTTAATTAACTTTAATTGATTATTACTCCTCAATTAACACATAATCATAAAAAGGACAGTTTTTATAACAGGAATAGCTCTAAATAGCAAGTTTTATTCGTTCTTGATTGATAACCAATACGTCAACGTCATTATTTTATTGACTAATAAACAAGAAGAAGAAATTAACATAAACTGTCACCTGTCACGATTTGTCATTACGTGGATTTTTGTGTTTTTTAGTTAATAGTGGTGTTATTAAACAAGAAATTCATTCATGTTACAGTGTAAATTAACTAAAATTAGGTAAATACATTTGTTTAGTTGTATAAGAATCGCGTCCGGCGAACGCCTACGTGATTTCTTCGAATTTTCCAGGTAACAATATGTGGGGCGAACCCGATCCAGACCCTGGCGAAGGGGCGCTGGGGCCAGAACCGAAGGAGCAGACCGATCAGCAGCAGCTGCTCCTCGTCCAATTGAAGGACGTGCTGAAAAAGGAGCAAAGCACAGTGCCCCAAGAGAAAGTCGATGAGTACATCAACACCTTAACCAAAGCCAAAGCCAAGAAATCCAGGTTGAAGAAGGACGAAACCGGCAGTATTGAAAGAAGCAGCGGATCTGTCGATGGCAGAAAACACGAAAAACTTAATTTAATGAAGCAACAGTTGGAAGAAAACAAGTACGTGTTGGTAATGGGAAGTTAACTGTTGGTTAAAATATATATCTTTTATTTTAGGGCGAAACTAGCTCAAAGAGGTATGAGGCAAAAGGACATTGAAGATATGGTGACTGTTTTAAAAGCCCAGTTAAACGATTCGTCGCAGCAATTAATCAACACGGCAACCGTTAATTTAGAGAAGAATGTGGATTACAATAAAAATACGAGTCCCGAAGAGTTGTACAACATACTGTTAGTAAAGGAGAAAAGAATCGCGGATTTGCTGGAAAAAGTCCACAAACAAGAAGGGAATATTTTGGATTTACAAGAGAATTTGAAAGAAAAAGATTCCGTTATAGATGCCCGAACGAAAGCCATAACGTTAATGACGGAGAATTTGAGCAAAAAAGGCAAAGATACGTTAGATACATTAGACGAAACGAAAGAGCAGATGAGGCGGATGCAAGAAAATTTTATATTGCTCGAAAGCCAAATGAAAGATAGACAAATGATCTTGCTAAATGATCTAAAATCCAAAAACATGGAAATTTCTAACCTTCAAGAACACAACGAGAGTTTAATCAAAGAAATCGAGCGATTCAAAAGCATTGATACAAATATTAAACCCGAATTAGAAAACCACGAATTGTTAATAAAAGATCTAAAATCCAAATTAGACGCCAGTAAAGCTGTAATAGAAGAAAATAAATCGACTATAGAAGAATACACAAACAAAATCAATGAACTAACGGCTAAATGTGAATCGAACGATGGAGTTGATCGGCAAAAAGAAGTGGAAAAACTGAAAAAATTATTGGAAGAAAGCAACAAGAATATGATTAAAATCAAAGCGCAAAATAAGAGCAAAGTGAAAGATTTAAACAAAAAATTAGACGGTTTCAAAAAAATGAGCGACTCGAACGCCATGATTATTCAGCTACAAAACGAAATCACTAAATTAAACGAAAAAATCGCCGAATTAGAGGAAGAAAAGGGCAACATGCAGTTGAAAATGGTCGAATCAATCGAATCGATTAAAGGTACAATTTTTATTACATCACTAATTTACTTAAAAAAAAACTAAACTTAATTTTTAGGTTCTACTCATTCGGAGGACTTGAAGGAACTCGAAGACAAATTGGACAGGAATAAAGAGGAATTGGACGAGAAAGACAAAGTCATAAATCTCTTGGAATTGGATATACTCTCGATGAAAAACGAGATAGCAACCCTAAACGAAAAGATTTCCGGTTTTACACAACTCGAAACCGACCAAGTTTCATCCGAAATGCGATCGATTCAAATCGAGGAACAACTCGAACTACTCCAAACCGCCAACAAGGACTTACAATCCGAAATCGATTCACTACGAAAGGAAAAAGACGAACTGTGCGCGAAAATCGACGATTTCGCCAAGGAAAAGGCCGAACTGGCCGCCAAACTGGACAATTACGTGCAGGAAAACATGGAATTGATCGACAAATTGGAGAAACTCAGCGCCGAAAAGGTGTCATCGGCTGAGAGCATCGAAATAGTCGAAGGCCTCACCCAGCAGGAGAAATTAGAACTGGCCGCCTACCAGAAAAACATGGAGGACCCGTCGAAGAGCCACGAGGATGAACAGCCGGTCGAGCTCAACGAAAGCGTCCTGCAACTCACCGAAGAAACCGCCGAGCTCCTCAAGAAAATCGAAATGTTCACCATGGAAAGAAAGGAGGTGATGGCGAAGCTCGATTCGCTCCGAGACGAGAACGCCAGACTGTCTCTTCGAGTCAACGAAATCGAAAATAACAGAGACATTTTAGCGGAAACCTACGAGCAAGTCCAAACCGAGAAAGACGAACTAATCAAAGACAACGAGAATCTTCTCAACAAACTGAAGGCGTTCGAGCACTACGATGAGATCCTCGAAGAGAACGAACGACACAAGAAACTCCTTGACTCCAAAATCCACGAATTAGAATCCAAACTAACGCAACGCGTAGAAGAAATCAACAACTATCGATCGATCATCGAAGACAACAAAACGGAATTCATCAATTCCTCCGAGTTGATCAACAAGCTCCAAGCGCAATTGGGCGAGCGCGAAAGCGAAGTGAGAGATTTGAACGGATTGCTGGACGATTTGAATCGGGTCGTCGGCGATTTGCAGCGAGCCAACGAGAAATTGAACGATTTCGAGCACCTCGAAAGGCAAGTGGACGAATTGAAAACGAATCTCGAAGAAATCGAGCTCGCCAAAACCGAAGAACTCTACCGAAAAAACGCCGAAATCGACGAACTGACGCTGGAAATCCAACAATTAAGACGCCGAGACGGAACCGTCAGCGCCAGCATCGAAGAGATGAAGCAGAAATATCTAACGCTCCAAGCGCAATTGGACACCAACAACGATTCTCTCCATCGACAAGTCCAAGAACTGGCCGACAAGAACAAGGAGCAGCTGGAGAAGATGAAGAAAATCGCCGCCAATCTCAAGAAGAAGACGCAAGCCTACAACGAGCTCGAGCGGAAATACAACGAGGAAAAAGAAAAATGGGAAACCGAAGCCGACGAGAAACGATCCGATCGCTTGGAGCAACTCACGCGAGAAATCGATTCGTTAAAATCGGAACTACAATCGAAATCGTCGATTCTGGAGCGATCTAACAGCAAAATCGAAGACTTGCAAAACATCATCGGCGCTTTGGAAGCCCAAAACGTCGAGCTATCGGAATTCACGCGACGACAAGAGAAAATAACCGAAGTCAGTTTGAAGCAAGAACTATCCACCAGTCTTCACGAAGAGTTCGAAAACGCCCACGGCACCAAAGAAGGAATCAACGAGGATAAAATCAAGGAGCTGCAGTTGATCGTCGAAACCAACGAAGCCGAATTGCAACACTACAAAGAAAGGTCTCAGATGCTCGAAGAAGATCTCTCCATATTGGTCGAAGAAAAGGAACGGTTGGTCGTGAAATGCGCTAAATTAGAAGAGAAGTCGATGGAGCTGGCGAAGATCGAGGATGAGAAACGTTTATTAGAAGAAGAAATGGATTCGAAGCTACGAGATTACGGGAATTTGATGAAGCGAGTCGACGAATTAGGCGAAGAAAACGGAGAATCCGCAGCGAAAATCAAAGAGCAAGAAGATCTAATAACGAAATTGAAAGTTAAGATTAAGAAAGCGCAGGAGAAGTTGGCCCAAAATAAATCCCTGCAATCGGAATTGGACAACCACGAACAACTGATCAACGAATTAAGGAAGCAACTGGCCCAATCGGAGGCGGCCCAAAGGCACATCCAGCAGGAATTCGAGGACAACCGAAGGCACAACCAGATCGATTACGAGCGAATAGAATCCGATTACCAATCGCAATTGGAATCGTTGTCGAAGTCCAAAAACGAATCGACCTTCGAATGCGAGAAACTCCAAGAGGAAATCAAGCGATCGAAAGAAAGGGAGGCCGAATTGGCGCAAGAAATCGACGAAAACAACCACAAAATCGCCGAATTATCGGAGAACTTGCACCAGAAAACCGCTGAATGCGAGAACGCTTCGCAACGGATCGAATCGCTACAAAACGAATTGGAAAACGCCAAAAAATCGAGCAATTTACTCGCTTTTCCAGAGGCATCGATCGGCGAAACAACCACCAATCTATTCGCTTTTCCAGAGGAATCGATCGGCGATAACGCCAATTTCTTCTCTACCATCGATCAGCCCATCGAACCAATCGATCTCCACCGCAACGAGAAAAACACTCAAACCGAAACCCACCGGGAAGTCAACGTGACCAAAGAAGACCTAGAAAGCAAAATCAAAGCCCTCGAAATCCTCCTCTACAACGTCGACCAAGAGAAGGAGCAAGTCGTGCAGCAATGCTCCGAAATGCTCAACGAACTAACGCGTTTGGTCTACGAGAAAATCAATTTATCCGCGCACATCTCATCGCAGGAGGAAATAGATGCTTCGAGAGACCCAGCGACGCTCCGCCGGTTGGAATTCGAACCGACGCGTCCCGACGCCGGGCCGCAGGAGACGCCCGTCGACGAGCACGTCCCGCCCCCGATCTCCGCCTATTTAACCTACCCGGAACCGGAACAAACTCGATCGGCCTTGTACCAAGCGGGCGAAAACGACGACGGCTGGGGCTGGGGCCCCGAAGAGGCGCGCCTCGAAGAAGAGCACCAGTACAACACCGAAAACCACCCCCAAGTCCAAGCTCTAAGGGCCGAAATGGCATCGCTGAAAATCGAACGAGATCGCTTCGAGCTGGAGGCGAAGCAACTCCAACTGAAATCCGGCAAGTTGATCAAAAAATGCAAGGAGTTGAAAGCGATCAACGAGCGACTGTCGTCGACGTCGATCGATCTCGACGAGACCATACAGGAGGAGTTGAAGGCGCGCGTCGAACGGCTCGAAAGCAAAGTGAAAGAACTGCTCGGCGATTTGGACAAGGAGAAACGGGATAAGGCGAACCTGCTGGGGAAAATCGACGCGCTGAACGCGTCCAGTGCGAAAATCTTGGAGAACAAGGAGATCCAAGAGGCCGAAATCTACCGGTGGAAGCGCCTGTACGAAGAGGTGCGCGATCGATTGGACCATTTGGACTGGGGAAACGACGAAAGTAAATCGCCCAAGAGGCGAATTCCACCTACCGAAGGCGGCGTAGACGACGTGGAAGAACTCAAAAAGCTCGTGCACGATCTCACCGTCGACAACGAAGAATTACAAGCGCTGCTCAACGATCAGAAACAGCAAAGGGTCCAATTGGAGCGCAGCAAAAGCGTTACTAACGAGGATAGAGTTAGAAATCTAGAGGAGGAACTAGCTAGTAGAAACGGAGCTATTGGGATGCTACAGGAGAATGTAGAAGCTCTACAAGAACAATTAAAACAAGCTTTTACAGAGCTTGAAGCGAAAACTAGCACTGTAAGTTACTTAGAAGGTGTTTTAGAAGAATTGAAAGGTGATAAAGAAGACCGTTCGCGACAAGAGGAAATCGATCGTGAAATAGAAGCTTTACGAGAGCAATTAAAACAAACATTTAACGAGCTCGAGACGAAAAATACTACTATCGATAACTTAGAAGAAGCATTAGAAAGATTCAAAACGGCGCTACAAAGCAAAGAAAACGATTCCAAACAGGCGCAATTCGACCTCGATCTTCTACAAGAGCAATTAAAGCAATCTTTTAACGAGATCGAAGCGAAAAATACGACTATAAGCGAGTTGGAGAGGGCCTTGGAAGAGTCGAAATGTAACGAAAACGATACGAAATTGCAACAATTGGAAAATTTGTTGTCGCAAAAAACCGCCGACGTCGAGCAATTCCGATTATCCAACGATTCGTTGAGCACGGAAATATCCCGTTTGAGGGACGAGCTGGAGACGGCGAAAAACCTACAAGCAGACGCCTCCAAAATCATAGAGAACCTCCAAAACCAGCTCGAACGAGAAGGCGAGATCAACCAATCCATACGGCAACTAACAGACTTCAATGCTAACAATATCGAAGAATTGATACGGTTGCTTAACGATGAGAAAGTGAAAAGTAAAAGTTTGGAAGATGATTTGGAAGAACAGAAGCAAATCAACGATCAATTACGTGTAGAAAACGCCAATAAATTAGAAGAAACAGGAGAAAGGGAGCATTTAGAAAGCGATATAAAGAAACTTAAAGATGAATTGAACCAAATCAATCAATCTATCCAGCAACTAACCGACTTCAAAGCTAATAATATTGAAGAATTTATACGATTGTTTAGTGATGAGCAATTGAGAAGTAAGAGTTTAGAAGACGATTTGGTGGAGCAGAAGCAAATCATCGATCAATTACGTATAGAAAACGCCAATAAATTAGAAGAAACAGGAGAAAAAGAGCATTTAGAAAGCGACATAAAGAAGCTCAAAGATGAATTGAACCAAATCAACCAAACCATCCAACAACTAACCGACTTCGAAGCCAACGACATCCGTCAATTCATCGAGCTCTACAACGCCGAAACCTCCAGAATCCGAAGCCTGGAGGACGCGCTGGCCGCCAAGCAGCTGGAGCTCGACGATTCGGACCAGAAATGGTCGCGACGCGTCGACGAGCGCGGCGACGCCGTCGCCGACAGCTGGAAACACCACCTGAACATCGTCGAATCGGATTTCGCGGCGACGCGAGACAAACTCAAAGCCGACATCGACGAGCTGGAGGAGAAGTACAACGCCCTGGTCAACGAGAACAACGAGCGATCGGAGAAGGCCGTTTTGGCCTCCGACTTGGAAGCTGTCCGGCGATTGCTCGCCGATAGAGAGGCGGAGTTGGCGAGTTTGAGGACTTTGGCGGAGACCACCAGGCGGCAATTCGACGAGAAGCGCGAGCTGGTGGAGGAGATCGTTTGGGTGTTGGAGAGCAACGCTTCCTATCCGTTGTCGTGCGAAACTCGCGATATACTCGACGAATTGAAGCGGCAGTTGGCGAGTAAACGAGACGATTCGGACGATTCGAATGAGAAATTGCGACAGGCGAATCGCGAAAAAGACGATTTGAGCTCGCAATTGGAACGATACGCCGCCAGTTTGGCGGAAAACGAAACCGAAATCGGTAAATTGAACACGCAATTGCAAAATTACAGCATCATCATTCACGACAACCAAAGTAAAATCGAAGATAGCGAAAAGATGTCGCGACAAAACGAAGATCTAAAGCGACAATTAACTAATTTAAACGATAATAGAGAAGAACTGAGTAAACTACACGCAGATTTACAAGAAAAATATGCCCAATTGAGCGCCGTTTATCACGAAAAAGAACAACAATACACCGCCATTTTGAAGCAACACGAAACCGATATCGAGCGATTAAACGCGCAATTGCAACATTACACCACCGTCATCGGCGAAAATCAAATCAAAATCGACAACCTGCAGCAAAATCTGGCGATCAAAGACCGCCAAACGCAAGAATTGCTCGACAAATCGAGCGACAACACCACAGAAACGGAACTATCGCAACTCATCGAAGCTCACTCGACGCTCCAGCAATCCTTCGGCGAATCCCAACAGCAATTGTTCCAATTAAACCAAGACCTGGCGGCGAAATCGCACCAATACGACGCCATCGCCGACCAGTTATCCTACAGCCAACAAAACGTCGAACTCCTCCAGCGCGACATCGACCAGCTCCGCCAAATCGTTCGCCAAAAGGACCAAGAGCTCGAGCACCTGCGGAACGCTCGCCACACGGAACTGGAGGAAGCGCTGGCGGGCAAAGACCTCGAGGCTCAAACGCTCCGAGCCCAAATGGCCGAAATCGAAGCCAAATTGGCGCTGGCCGACGAGGAAGCGAAGCAGCTGAACGAGACCAGGACCATCATCGCCGAGCAGGTGTTGACCATCGAAGAACTCAAGCGGAAGCTCTACGAAAAGAGCAACGACTACGATAGTCTGATAGCCGAAATGGACATCAACAGAAAGGCTATTACCCAACAACCTACCTCTAATACCGTACGTAATTTTCGATCGGTTTTAGCCGTACGAATTGATTTACTGTTGTTTTAGGTCGATGCGACGGAGAGACGCGATAGAGCCGATGAGGATTTGAGCGAGCCGGCGAATAGAGCCGAGCTGGACCTGGCCTTGTACATGTTACACCAAAGGGACGTGCGTTGCGAGGAGCTCACGATGGAATTGACCCATCTGTTGGAGGAAAGGGATACGTTGCAGTTGAAATTATCGAACGCCATACGGGAGAGGGAGCAGCTGTTGAGGAGCGCCAAAACTACTGTGGGAGACGGTGCGTTTTTACCGGCGTTGTGAAGCGTTTTCGGTTGCTAAAGGAATTTTTTTTTGTTGTAGGCGGTGTAGAGGCTTCGGCGACGATGCCGGACACACCGAAAACCAGCAAGTCTTCGGAGATCTTCCTCGCCGCTTCGGGCATCGAATTGGCTAGCGAACCCACCGAGCGATTGGTCGTCCAGCAAGATCTGGCTACTAAGTAAGTAAAAGGCCGGTTTTTTTTTAATCTCTTTTATCGAACGTAACTCGATTTTAGGCTGTCGGAATTGAAATCCGTGGGGTATAGAAGGGACAAGACGTTCGTGGACGAACAGGAGCAGAGGAGGATGCAGCAAATTTCGATTATGGAGCAGCACATAAAGGAGGCTTCGAGGCTGCCGCCGGAAGCCGCCGCTAAATTAGTCGATGCCAGTTACACGTTGTGTAAGTGAAGCTTTTCATTACGTACGGTTGGTGCAAAACTATTTTAAAAGTTTTCCACGACTTACTCTTCCCTTTTTGAGGCCTCAGTTGCTAGGGTTATTCGGTTACGCGGCTGTCAATACGCCAATTGACATAACCAAGGGCATTATATCGCAAAGGATTGCTCAATAATATAACGTGCATTGTTATTTGTTTTGCATGAATGTTATTTATTTGTTGCAGCTCGAGACGTCCAAAGCCCGTCTAAGGTTCTTCTAAATTGGCTGTGGGGTAGAAGTACGCCCAAAGTGAACGATACATAGCATTTGCCTTGTATGAAACTAAACTTTTAGACTAGAATGACGTGCCTGATTTCGGTACCAAACGCCTTTATAGTTAATTAACAAGTCTAGTCTTTGTGGGTTTTATTCATTTTTTTTTTTTGTCTACATCGGCGAAGTTAGATTTGAGGGTATCGGACGGCTTTTAATTGGATTCGCTTCGCCTAGGATTTTGTATATCGAAATTTGTAAATGTATATTCTACTGCTGTTTGATTTTTTTTTTGTATAGTGTGATATACGGTTACAATAAGTATAAATTTGTACAGAATTATGAATGAAAGTGCATTTATCGTTGTTCTTGTGAATACATTAATTTTTTAATTATTTTATGGTTATTTTGAACCCGGAACTTTTAGGAGGCCACAATTATTACACTATTAAATCCTGGACCGATTTAATGTGATTGATTAAAAATTGAAAATAACGAGATTGTAAATTAGCTCGTTCAAGTGCTGTTGTTTTTCCTCGATTTCGATCGATGTTTCTTCGGAGATTTCTGCCTTTTAGTTTTCGACCTCGATCGTTTATGATTATTCTTTCGTTTGATCGCAACGACCGACGAAGATGCCGTCGGTTTCTCGGTACTCGCCAGCGATTCCGGTATCCTCGCGAACGAATCGTATCCGCATTTACAACAAGTTTTACCTAAAATATCGACTGCATTAGCGATTTATTTTTGATTGGAAATAAACGTATGACCTGTGCAGAAATCCTCGCCGCAACTACTGCAAGACACCACTCGCATTTCGACGATTCCCGACTTGTTTTTTGTCTTCCTTATCATCGGGTCGCTTCTTTTCTCCTGCGTTCTGCTCTTGTTCTGCAATTTACCCAAATCTATCATCCTGGAAGGAATACACCTATTATAAATGTAGTTAACTACATTATACAAAGTAGTTTTAACAACACTATGTATATGACATGTTGATGTCAACATGTGTCCTGTAATTTAGGCCAAACCTTTTTAATGAATATTCTTTTTGTTACCTCGAATATAAAGCCTCCTCCGTTTTGCTTTTCGGTCGCAAATTGGTCAGCATCTTCCAATCGATGGGCACCGAAATCAAATCCTCCATTTTGAGATTTTTCATTTCGTTGGGCAACGGATCCATAAACGAGTACTTTTCCTTCTTCCGCTTCGACGACGCCCTCGATTTGAACGTGAACTTCTTCTCTTTGATCTTGACCGCCTCCGGCGGGACCTTCTCGGGTTTGATCTTGAAATCGGGCACTTTCTCCAACAGCCTGCGGAACTCCTCCTTCGAATTCGCCACGGTTTTCGAGAGGTCCAGTATCGGAGTCGCCTCCTTTTTTTTTGTCAAAAAATCCTCCATGGTTTTTTTTTTTCTTTTAACCGAGTCGTGAATCTACAAACCGGAAATTTATTATCCAAGCAAACTGAGGATATTTTGATATTGTTCAGAAATTATACGTTTCTTTTAGACCCTTCTATACAAGAATTGTTTCCAAAGTTCTGGGATTTGTGCTCTAATTAAATTATGCCGAACTTATAGACAATGTTATACAGGTTAAAAAGTGCATGTACTTTTTATCGTTGCATAAACACATCGAGACTTGTCTTTCACTTCAACCATCAACAACATTGCCTGATTTCTTTAGAGCTCGAATCCCAGATCGTCAGAAACATCCCTCAAAAATTTACCTAAATAAAACTAACAGAATCTACATCGACGAGTACAACAAAACCATGTTCACTCGGAACACTTGTGCCTGCCGCACCTGCAAATGCAACAGTAATCGCTCCGTTCGTAATACAAACGCTCCTTATCGTAGCCCAACGGCACGACTTCGGCCCGACACGACGATCTCCCCGCGCGCCAATCGATCCTCGAATGCCTCGTCCTGCCCTTCTTCCTGTACGATCTCGGCGTGGCCGTTCGGCTGTCGTCGCTCGAAGCCTTCTCCTGCTTCTCCTGCTGGCGCCTCCGGTACAACGGATCCTTGTCGCTCTGCTTCACGTAGCGCGTGGGCGGCCGGTTGACGCCCCACTTGGGCCGCTCCTCGAGGCTCTCGCTGCGGCTGCGCCGCTCCTTCGCGCCCCGCCGTCGGCCCTTCGATTCGTCGTCTCCGGCCGATTCGGACTTGAAGAAGGCGGACTCGTCGGTTTGGGTGGCGGCGTGGCAGAGGATTTTGGCGGCGGCGGCGGGAATGAGCAAGGCGTATTGGACGCGTTGTATATTGAGGTCCAGTGGGGCGGGTAGAGCGAGCGTTTGAGGAGCTATTAGATTCGGAGAAGTGGGTGAGTTTAGTTCGTTGGAGGTGTCGCTATCGGTTTTGGGTATCTCGAGGTTGTTGTTCAAGTCGTTCGATAGCGTTTCGATGTCTTGCGAACGTGTTATAGTATCTTCTAATTCTACGGTATTCTTATTATCCTCTATTAGGTCGGTTTGTTTTTGTAGTTGGTTGATGTAGTAGTTGTGTTTGTTTTTGGTCGATTTGGCCAGTTGGGCTTCCTTTTGGGCGATTTGCATCGCCTCCTCGACGGCCTGTTTGCGTTTCATTTTCTTTTCGAGTTTGTCCCTGAGCGATTTCGATTCTTGCTCTTTTCTCGATCGTTCGATTTCCTGTTCGCGCTCGATGCGCAACTCCTCCTCGTATTCCTCTTTGATTCGACGTTCTTTCTCCTCTTGGCGTCGCTTCTCGCGTTCGTTTAATTGTTGTAAGATGGCGTATTGATGGGCGAGAGCTAATTGTCGTTTTCGCTCGCGTTCGGCCAGTTCCGTGGGGTCCATGTGGATGTGTTGACCACGCAGGTAATTGCTACTAGTAACAGAAATGGTTTAGAAACTTACTTGTAGTTTATACATTTGTAAACCTACTGGTTGTTGGAGTGACTCGATCCGGTTTGCGGCCGGTCATCGTCGAATAATTGCTCGGGGGATTCGGCGGGGGACGTGTTATTGACGATAATCTCGCCGTTCTTGAGGCCCCTTTTCACCCAATTGGGCGGCTCGTTGTTGGCGTCGGTCGATTCGTCTTTGGGCGGCCAAAATTTGGCCAATTCCGACGTTTTGGCGGTGCTCCATTTGGGTCTGTCGTCTCTGCTCGAGGACGATTCGTAGCCGGTTTGGTGCCACGTTTGGACGTGCTCGGGCGTTTGATTGGGATTGTCGCTACCGTAGCCCGACGTTTCGCCGCCGATTTCCTTCTCCTTGTCGTAGGAATTGAATTGGTTTTTGTAAAGGGGCGGAAGGCTGGATCGTCTGAATTGTCTCGCGTTCCTTAAAAAACACGTTTTAATAAAATGAAACTATATCAAAACGATGATCGATTCAATTAGAATCTTCGAAATTATTCAAATATTTGAATTTTGAATTTCTAATCAAACTTCAAACGTCAAATGTCAAAATGAGTTCTTCTTTCCCCAATAACGTATTGGCCTCGTCCGTAGGTCATGCAGTGGCATTCAAACGTCAAAATGATTTCTTCTTTCCCCAATAACAAATTGGCCTCGTCCGTAGGTCATGCAGTGGCCTTCAAACGTCAAATGTCAAAATGATTTCTTCTTTCCCCAAAAACGTATTGGCCTCGTCCGTAGGTCATGCAGTGGCCTTGTCAGGGGGATCGTACAGTTACGGTCAGTTTTATGGAGCTTACCTGTCCAAAGTTGTGTAATTTTCCTCGCCGGCTGTCCAAGGGACTTTGAATTCGGCCATTTCTTCTGAAAATTCGTTTGAATTAAATCGCGTGTTGCGCGGACAATTATAGTTAATTTCGAGTAATATTGATGAATTTTACCTTTTTCTTTCGCCCATTGCAGTTTTTTCCTTTCGATTAACGAAAGCGCTGAATGGGAGTGCATTCGTTTCAACTTATAGAGAGCTTATCGAAATATTTAACAAAAAATATCTGAAAGCTAAAAATATAATAACAATACATACAAATATAGATATGATATAGCATACAAAATCAATTCATATATTTTATTCGCATATCGATTTTGTTGTAAGTAATTTAATAATATTATCCTCCATGTGCGGGTATTACGATTTTTTTAATTATTCAAGTATTGGCAACACTGCTTCTCATCTCGTAAGTTAGCGATGCAACAGTAATTAATTTTTACAAAAGTCGGTATTTCGCATACAATTTCTGAACAATTAATATTCGTCAAGCAATTAACAAAAAAACTAACTTACCTTATAATTTAATGGAAGAATTCGTCGAGGAAATTTTCTGTTTCAACAGTCCATTTCGAGATGGAAAGTAAAACTGTCGCGTTCGACGTTTTATATTCCACATGCGGGCAGATATTTATTCCGTACATTTTGTATTTGATCAATCTTGTCGTCACAGCAACCGCAATCGAAACAATCCAGCGGGTGAACAACCCTTTTCCTCAAAACTTTCGCGGAAGATTTCGTGACGCGATAAATTTATTTATTAGTTTTACCTCCGGTGGATTTTTCCGGATGGGTCTCTGGATCGCAGTGGGCTTTGGTTTGGTGGGTTGCGCGAACATTTTCATTATTTATCGACGTTTTTTTGTTTAAAACGGGGGAAAATGTGGACGACTAGTTGGAAAATTATTTCTTTTTATATTTGATAAATTTTTGGTAAATTTTGTGCCTTTTTGTTTCTGTCAACCCTCCATTGTCATAGCCTACTGTGATGTAGGTATATTTTTGTTTCTACCGTGTGAAATTGCGGTGAAGGAAAAACGGTGTACAAATTGACCCAGATTGTTAATCTTAATCGATTGTTTTCACTATTTTCGTACTTGAATTAATGCAAATTATTGCTGGAAATACGGGTACGTTATTATTACGTGCATTTATGCATAATTAAAAATGTGAGAAAACGAAACTGGATAATTATTAATCAAAATTGCGATAGGGAGACAATTACAGTAAAATGCATCATTTGTTTACTGCACATTTATGATAATAATTGCTTAATTGTGTAATTTAAATTTAGTTTCTTTTACCAATTTGTGTTGGTACGAGCTAGGTTACAAATCGAAAAAGCTAATCTGTCAAAGTTGTCACGGTTGACAGACCGGTTAAGCCGACAAATCGAAAAAGCTAATCTGTCAAAGTTGTCACTGTTGACAGACCGGTTAAGCCGACAAATCGAAAAAGCTAATCTGTCAAAGTTGTCACGGTTGACAAACCGGTTAAGCCGACAAATCGAAAGCGCTCGTTCTCATGGCTAAACGTCAAAATTTTTGTCATCGACATTCTGATTTTTGGGGTAATCAAACAACAGTTTTTTTTTAAATGTTAGCCGTTTCGATTAGTGTTTAAGTGATTCACGTTAATATTAAGTGCTAATAAGATAACAAATGTAAATTTTCCCAGGGTAGGAGTTAATTATATCGAAAATAAAGGTAAGAAAGTCACGTTATTGTCCATTTGTTTACACCGTTTCGTGCCCCGCAGGGGCCGTTCTCATTTCCGCAACGCGTTTAACGTTTCCACTCTAAAACTAGGTCAGAAACGACAATGAAAAACAACACGATCGGAAATGTTGACGAAGAAGTTGACGTTTTCAAATTAATACTAAAATTGAGGCACGAAAAATTGCTGATCGGCAGCGAGAAACAGGACATACAGGAACTGAACAATCTAATAATAGAGAAGACCCACGGCATCATCAAGGAATCCTGGTTGACGACTAAACAACGTTTGTTCCTCTACCAACGAGAGACCTCTTCGAGAAACTACCAAAAATTAGATCAACTGCTAAAATCCGAATTCATCGATGCCAAACAAATACTTGGATTTCAGGTCAGTTAATTACACACCGCCGCTAATTATCCTTTCTAAATCAATCGATTTTTAGAATACGTTAAAATTGGGTAATCTACTACAAGTGCTCAGAACCCAGCCGGTACAACTAGCGAAATGGCTCATAGCCGGAGAACAATTAATCGAAGACTCTCTGAATTACTCGTCGTTCTTGGAAAACATCGTAGTCGGCCTGTTTGGTTGTTTGATGTTCTCCGACGACATCAAATACATGCTCGCCCTGCTCTACGAGCTGGCCAAATTGCAATTATTAAACTGCGATGATCCCAGGAGGTGAGCCAACTAGATCCTCCAACTCTTATCTCGACAAAAAAAAATGAAAAACACATTACGAGAGGTGGATTAACGATAGTATAATGTTCTCTTTCTCTTTCGTTCGAATTAACGCGACCTTCAATTTATGATAAACAGATTTGCGGTATTTCGTATGTGCTAAAAAATTCAATTATCTAACAGTTGTTATTATTACATCACGTAATGTTTGTGAAATATTTCGATATGTTTTCGAAAAAATACTTACCGAGTATCGTACGATCAAAATTGAATCACAGCACACTCGATATATGATTGCTTTAACATTAAAAATCGTACGGTAATTTATTCCAGAATCATCAAGCAAAGGACTTGCTCGTTCAAACACCTGTATTTTCTGTTCCACGAAGTACTACAATCGGCGAAATTCTTTCTGAGCGCCGCCATGGAAATACCGATAGTGCACATGATGTCGTGCACCGATTATTACTTAGATTTAGATCCGGAGAAGACCGTCATGAGATTCAAGCACGACGAAAACGAACTGACGAATACATTTCGAAATTTCGACGAGTACAGGCGCGAAGTCGTCGCGAAATTGGTCGAATTCAGCAATATCATGATATCGTCGCTGTTGGAAAACGTCTACAGCTTTCCCAAATCCATAGCTTGGATCGTATCGCGCGTAGCCAAAATCATCGAGAAATCGTTCGATACCAAACAAGTACGTTTTACCAACGGGTGGTTTCCAGCTACATCTCGATTAATTCGACCCATTTTCCATAGGCCAACGCCATCATCACCGAGTTGATATTCAACCTGTACATTTGCCCGGTGATCATCGATCCCGAACAGTACGGCATCTGTACGACCCAAGTCAACGAAATGGCCCGTCACAATCTCATCCAGGTGTGCCAGATATTGCAATCGTTGGCGTTGCGCAAGTTCGAACCGATCGATGCCCGGTACTCGGACCTGTTCGACTCCCTCGACAAGGACCTCGTCTGCAATTTCATCGAGCTCCTGTTCTGCGAGACGGACTGCGACGAGCCGCCCGTCGACGCCTCGCCCGGCCTCGTCAGAGACATCATGTTGTTCACCGAAGGCGAGCTGAATAACATCGTAAACAATCCAACGTAGGTTTTTATATTCGAACGTTGTATTAATCGTAGTTCGTTATTGCAGGTGTGTATATTGCAAAAAATCCAAACGAAACACAGGACGGGCGATGGTTTCGTCAAAGACGTGGCGATCGAAGAGCAACTCTCATCGTTGTCGATATCCATAGATAGTTCGCCCAAATCGAATCGAGCATCGAACGTCGAAGATGGCGCTTCGAAGCTGTCGAATTTCTTCGCTATGGGCGCTAATGCGAAGCACCACGGGGCGCAGGAGGCGCTGTCGAAGCGCGTGCTGGTGTTGCCCATCGAACGGGCCCATTCCGTTCCGGTTGGATTCGTCTCCGAGGAGAAGATCCTCCGGGCCGAGGCGATGCCTTCGAAGAACGGCGACAAGCCGGAGGGGCCTTCGCAAAACGGCGATTTGAAACAGGCGGGCTTCGCTTTCCCCGACGAAGGTTCGATCGGTAACACCTCGGATAATTTGGAGGCGATTTCGGAAGCGGCTAGTAACCATTCGGTCGATAGCAGCATCGAATTGGAGAACGAAGATCAAAACGATAATTTATCCGATATGGTATCGGCCAATGTATCAGGTTATTTAGCTTATACTACGATGATTTATTAGTGTGTATAAACGTTTACGGTGTATTGTAGGTCGTGGTACACCGAACATATCAGGCAGGGACACTCCCAGTTCGCAGGTGTGCGAAAACGACGATAGAGGCGCGATGGGCGAACAACGGCAGGCCGAAGTCGTCCAGCCGCAATCGAATTCGAATTTGAATCGACAGATACGGTCGGAGATCGACGATAAATTTTGCAAGTTCGAAATCAAGAAGTTGCTCGAAGGCGACGAGACCATTTCGATCATATCGGAGACGTGGAGCACCGACGTCCTGGCGTCGGACAACGAGACCGTCGACGCCGCCGAAACGAGACAACCGTTGCAATTGGTCGAGAGCGTACAAGAGGCGCCCGGCATTTTGGATATGTCCGAGACGCAGAGCGAGAGCGCTTGGTCCACCGACGTCATGACATCGGACACCGAAAGGTACTGAAAGGCTGTTTTCTTTCTTCGAAATCGCTTTGTTTAACTCCCTATTTCGTAAAGCTACTCTTAGTAGTCTAAGTCTACTCTTAGATCATATATTAAGGTCTGCGATAGAGGGCGTTAAACAAGGAACCCGGTGTATTGGCGTGGGCGATTGTGGAGAGCGTGATGGTACGCCTGACTGTGTAGAGGCTGACGTTTTGTTGACATTTTTTGCAGATTAACGGAGGTGGATAATGAGGATTCGGTGAGCGTAGCGCAATCGGACGAGACCAGATCGGAGACGGACGATAACGCGTGCGCGAGTCGCAGGCTGTCGACTTGTTCGAATTCCTTCGTGCCGATATCGAGCAATCAGAATTACGTGTCGAGCGTTACCGTGCAAAATATGAGTTTTCTACCGACGAACGGACCGACGTCTGTCGTTAATACGAAGAACAAATACGTCATAACGTCTTATACGTCGGTAATTTGGATTTTTTTTTTTTTTCGAACGATCCGACTGGTGTACGGAATGTAATACGAACGATTTTTTTTTAAGGAATACAAGAGCGACAGAACAAACAGAAAATCGTACCAAACCGAACAAACCGACAACAACGCCAACAGAGTGTACAAGTCTCTCACCATCGAACAAACCGAATCTCTAAGCGAAGAAAACGATTCTAAAACGTCCGTATACAAATCGACCGTCGTCAAGAACGGCCTGATCGCCAAGGATTCCGAATTGAACAGTCTGGCCGGTGCGTGGAATCCGTTCGATTCACCTTTCGATTTACACTAAAACTGTTTGGTTTTATTTTTTATTTTTTTAGGCCCCAGCGGGATGGTGGAGGGCGACAAACAGCACCGCAATCGACCCAACGAGATACTGTTGAGCAATTGCAGCTTGAATTCGAGCTCGAGCGGCTCGAGCAGCCACAGTTTCGAGAACAAAAACGCCTCCGAACAGGAGCAATGGGAGAACAAACAGTGGCTGAACAGCTCCGGTAGTAGTTTGAACGCCACGTCGACGCCTTCGGAGAGCACCAGCGAACTGTCCGTTTTGAGCATCGGCAACAAAAAAACGCCGGGTACATTATGTCTTTAGTAAATATCACACCGTACGATGGGTTTGTTTGGTTTGTTTTTTATTTAAGGACGAGGTTTGAAGCCTTCGGTGTCGACGGGAGCGATTCCGAAGAGCATCAGTTTCGATATGAGCGCCGATAAAGGGCTGGACGAGGAGGGGCGTGCGAAACGCGGCGGATTCTTCGGCAAATTGCGGATGGGTTTCAAGAATAGGCGAGGAAAAAGTCTGCGTAATCAGGAAGAATTCCGGCTGGGCGTCGAAAACGACGATTTCGTTAATAAAGCGGCGAAAATGGGGAACAGCGCGGGTAATTTGCATCGTAACGTGTCCGTTAATTAACTGTAATTAACGCTTCGATTTTTTTTTTTTTTTTTTAGAAGTATCCGATGACATTTTGGCCAAGTATCGAACGAAACCGTTCGTCGAAAACGAGACTTTAAAAGATAACTGTGATTTGAGCAAATCTCTGAAAATGAAAGACGCTTACCGAAGCAATAGCGAAGAATTGAATAGCTTTAATGATATTAAAAACAAATTGCGTTTAGTTTTAAGTAATACTTGGGAAATTCCGCATTACATTAAGGTACGCATTTAATTATCCATTTACGTCACAAAAAATGTCAATTTAAACTTCTTGTGACAGCGCGAAGTTGACTGCTCTATGTCACAATCACGGTCGTATACATTAAGGTCTGGAAACTTCGAAAAGGGTGATAGAGGGCGCTACCACCAAAAAGATTGGTCAAGTTTCCAGACCTTAATGTATACGACCGTCCTCGCAATAAAATTGTAAGAATCACAACTGTCAATTTTGACATCCAAGGCTAACCATTATTTTTGTCAATAGAAATGGAATGTTTGCTTTCCAAGATGGCCGGCATAGTTTCTACGATTATTTAACTTCGCGTTTGCTTTTTTTTTTAATTGTAGAATAATCCGTTTAGTGTTAAGAACAAAATCGAGACGATATTACGTTTGGAATTGGGCAAGGCGAGGAGGATGCGCGATTGGTCGGACGTGGCGAGAATATCCGAGGCGATACGATGCGTAAATCTGTTGAACGACGAAAATTGCTTGAAATTGTTGCGTTCGATGAGAGACGATATTTTGCTGAGATCGGCTTACGTTAAATATTTGGTCGTTTCCAAACAGGAATTGCTGTTTTCCGATAGCTATTTAAACAGGTAAGTTCGATTTAAATTTTAAATCGATTGTAAACTGTCAAGTGTCAATTCGAATCGATTTATTAGGTCTCGTTTCTTAAAGACATACGACCAGGTAATTTATTTTTGGTTACAGTTTACAAGAACAAATTAGCAACGATAAGTACCAGTGCGAGAAATACCTGGCGGCGATTTGCGTTAAAGAATTCCTCTCCGAGCAGGAATCGATGATAGTGGACTTTTGCAAGGAATTTAAGCTGCTGAATTTGGCCGACGAAAAGTACGATTTCCTGCAAAGCTTCTATTCGAAACTGTTCCTGATGATGAAGAACAGCGCCACTTGGAAAGGTTCGTTTCAAACCGATAGATACGAATTCGTTTTATTCGATTGGTGGGCATTTTTCCAGGTATCACAAGAAGCAACGAGAACACATTGAAAACCACTCTAGAGCGATTCATCATGAGCAAAACTTACAAAAATTCGATTTACCCGAACGGCGACGGCGACAGGGACAGAGATCGGTAAGCACCAATTCAAATTGCTTAATCGTATACGATGACACAATTCATCTTTTTGGCAGGGTATTGAGCAACCACATCGAAAAACTATCGAAAATAATCACGCCCCACCACAAGGACCTTTTGATCGACAAAATGTATCTGCGCGAGTGTCCGTGGCTGCCCGCCCAAGACGCCCTGCGGGCCCTCAACGTCTACAAAACGCCCAGAGATAAAGTGAAGTGTGTCGTCCATTGCGCCAAATGCATCATGGATTTGTTGTCGTTGTCGCACGGCCGATCTTCGGCCACCGCCGACGATTTATTGCCCGTTTTGGTTTATGTGATAATTAAGGTACGAATTCAGTACTGAAGTCGCCTCGATTCGATTCGATTCGGGGCTATTTCATCGTCGTTATCTAATGTAGCGAAGAGAAAAATGTTTGAGAGAGCTCTTGCACCGATGGGATTTGAACTAAAGTTTAATCCTTTTAATCTGTTAGTGTGGTTGTGTTGGTGGTTGTGAGTTTATGGCGTGGAGAAGGTAAATTTAATGTGGTTGTTTTGTAATGTGGTTATTTTTTAGGTTAATCCGGAGGCTTTGCTGTCGACTGTGCAGTACGTGAACAGTTTTTTCCACGATCAGTTGTTTGGCGAAGAGGAGTATTGGTGGACTCAGTTTTGCGCAGCCGTCGAATACATCAAGACGATGGATTATTCCTATTGATGCGTCAGTTGTGTAATAATATTATTTTCGAAAGTGTACCTATTACCGTAAATGAAATTTTATTTATGATTTTTATTAATCTGTTAGGTTATAGAGCCTTTATATTTTGAATAAAAATATTTATATTTTGAGTTTTTTTTTTTGTCGTTCGATTCGAGGTGGATGGGAATTGAGGAGGGCAAGAAGCCGATTCGGTTCGTGAGAATAGAATATTTAATTTTTGATGTGCCGTGATTTTGAAAATTAATTACTACATTTTGCCGGGTCCCCCGATTGTTACCTGAAATCCAAAAAAAACAGTAAGACTAGAGTGCAATTAGCTAAGTATAAAAATTACTCAGTCGACTAAAGTCTATTCGAATAACTGGTATAGAACTACCAGAAGATGTAAGAGAAGACTAAACCTTGGCTTGAGCTGTCTCTAGTGCTGTCTCTAGTAGTCTTCAACTAGTAGTAGTTGAACAGTTCTAAGCGTTCAGCAAGCAAGTCTTCTCTAATACTACCGTTATTTCTACACTCACCAAATCCACGTCGGCGTTTCTATCGTCCTCTTCGTGCTTCTCCTTCGACGACATCCTCCTGGCCAATTTCCTGAGACTGGAGCTCCGGTTGCTGAACGACGGCCTCAAGCAGATCATCTCGATGACGGTGTCCTGCCGTTTCAGCGACCTCATCGACTCGTTGGTCGCCTCCTCGAACGTCACCGTCGACATGGAGTCTGAGGTCACCGATATCTCCTCCTTGTTGATCGAAGCTTCCCTGTTTTTCGCCATTCCCGTCGTCCATATCTACCGAATTTCCACATTGAGATAACTGGATAACTCGGTGATTACTATACCTTGCTCGCGTTGGTTTTCTCGTTGGATTTGCAGCACAACTTCCTCAATTCAGTTTTGAATTTCGGGTGAGATAAGGCGTAGACGTAGGAATTAACGCAACTGGCGGTTTTGCAGAATACAGCTGGTATCATAGACATTAAAGGAGTGATCCATTCCTTCTGTCCGCTCACTCCAAGCAAAGCGACTATAGCGTAAGGCGTCCAGGAAACGAACCATAATATAATAGTGGTAAATACGATTAAAGCCAGCTTGATTTCCTGCTTCTTATCGTCCTCCCTCTTCACGCTCCTGAAAGAATCCCGATGCGAGGCGCTCCTGTTGGCGACCACGCGAATTATGTTAATGTAACTGAACGAAATCAAAGCCAAGGGCACCGCCCAGGCGGCCACGAAGAACGCCACGATGAACCTCTTGACGGTGGCGCTGTCGGTGAGATAATCGAAGCTGCAGCTGGTCAGGTAGCCCTCGTAGGTGTACTTCCCCCAACCGATGTCGAGGACGGGAATCGAGGCGAATATCGCCCCGTATATCCACGTGACGGCCAGGCAGATTTTCACGCGGGCGTCGGAGAAGCTCCGGTTCAGCGGGTACTTGATCACGAAGTATCGGTCGAAGGAGATCAGGCTGAGGGTTATGATGGAAATGGTGCCGGTCAGGCCGCCCACGAACCCGTACAGACGGCAAGCTGCGAAAAATCGTATGGTAAAAGGCCAGTTTAGTTGGTGCAAATTGATTTTAGACTTAGGTGTGACATAGTATAAGAATTCATTCTAGGTTGTTTCGGTGCTACTGTGCATTAACGATAGTTTGTGTACCTTTATCGCCCAACGCGGGGCCTCTCATGAAGGCGTTGTAGATGAAAATGGGCGCTTTCATCGTCATCAGACCATCGCTGAGGGCCAGATTGATGACGAGCGTGTTGGCAGACGTCCTCAGCGACTTGCACCTGATGCAAAACCCACCCAATTACACCGCATTAACACCATCAAACGACTTACTTGACGAACAGGAACACCACCAGCGAATTCCCGGCGACGCCGAGCACCATGATCAGCACGTAGATCGCCCCCATGGAGTAGTAGCTGGCTGTGTTGGGCGGCGGGAATTTCATCCAGTGCTCGTCGATGATGTCCGCGTAGCCGTCGGCGAAGAACCCGTAGCGCTTCCAATCGCCCACCGGCCAGGAGGCCTCGAATTTGGCGATGGTCTCGGTGAGGTTGTCGCCGGACATCGCCGGGGAAACCCACGTTAGCAGGGCGTAAAGGATCCAAACAATGGCCGGCATCTTCGCGAGCCGTCTAATCGTCTACTACTATAAAGTTATCCACTAGTAATTCTATTATCTCGAGGGTAAGTAGATGGGCCGTTATGTAAAACTCGCATGGGATTTTGTGGTTTTGTGTGTTGAATTTTCGCAGCGGCGTCCTCGAGGACCGGATTTGTACTGGGAAAATGCGAAGTGCGAATGCTCTAAAATATCCTGTCGAATCTTTAAAACATTATTGCCGAGGGAGATTGCGAATTGCGATAGATATGTCGGCTATAGCGCCCATATAAGAAAGAATGGAAACAAAACAATGGAGGAATCGATGGGAATACATTATATTTGTTTTGTTGGTTACACGTGATTTATGTATTACATCTGGATGTATTGGAAAAAACCTTGTTGTTGATTTGATGTGGTGTTCTGTGACGTCATCGGTACGTTTGTTTGATCCAACCTACGAATTTTGAGTAACCTTGGTAACGTAAATTGGGCGCGAAATATGTATGATTAATATCTGAAAAATGACGAGGGAATTTTATTTCTCGTGGATAAATTGGGCGCTAGAATATTTCAGGTAGAAAAAGGGGTTATATAGAAATTGAAGATTGAAGATTAGACTAGAATAGGGTAAAGTAGAGTAGATTAGAATAGAATAGAATAGAGTATTTTTTTGAAACAAAAAAAATGAAACCAACTGTCATATTCACATCGTTTCTTTTAAACCCATAAAAAACCGTTGGTGACGCAACTGGAGTTAATTTCATGTCTTAGATTTTTTTTTTCGCTGTTGTATCAGGTCAAGTATTCCATTTCTTAATGAAAACTTGATAGAAAAATACGTAATAAACTTACGGCCATGTCGTGACTATTTGTGAAAATTCCATCGAAATAGCGAGCAAAATCGTAGTAGGCAAATAGCGGCAGGTGTTTATAAAACAAATTGAAAAAAAAAAATAAATCGAAAGTAATCCGCTAAATGGATTTTGGTTTTTCGTTAGGTACCTACTCCAATTTATCTTCCATTACTCCAAGCCATTATCTTAAAAAGTCAGAAGATTTATATAAGTTGTTTTTTTTTTTTGAATAAATAAATAACCCAAAAAAAATCGCAAGTGTCTAAGGATTTAATTTTACGCAAAACCGGCTCCTTTGAGTCACCCGTCGAGCTACAATATATCGCGCTACTTCCCAGCATGCGCACCAGCTGCTTTCGAATACTCCGAATTCTGAATATTACCGATTCATGAAGTTCGGACGATTAAAAATAAAAACATTACCGACCGATATCGAATTTCCTCAAATTCTAATTACCTTTATGCAATTACCTCTTCCCTAAAAATAATCGCCTATATGACGTTCGTTCTAATCCAGCGGTGACGTCACGGCGCGTATAGTGCGTCCAATATTACACCAGCGGTGACGTCATCTGTCGTATTCAAATCGCATTGATTATATATGATATTTTTGCGAAGCGTCCGTTACGAAAACGAGATTTAAACGTGACCTTTTCAATGGCCGCTTAACGTCTCGGTAAACTTGACTATTATACACCGCATCGTAGAAAGTTAAAAGGCTAAAAGTGCAAGCGGTTGTGTTACGTAAATAAACCGATAAAACGAGAGTAAAAATTTTATACAACTACTAGAGGTGACCAGTTAAATGTTAAGAAAAAGAAGAAGAAAAAAAACTCGAGTTCGTTGCAGCTGGTTTAGAAAGGAGCCGGTTAAAGATTACGAGCTACCCTCGTATACGTGGAAGTGCACGAAACATATTGAACTACCCTTGTATGCATTATATATATAAAAAAAGAAAGGATTATACACATAGTAGGTACAAGATAAAAGGTTTGTTTTATGGTACATATAGAACTACCCTCGTAAATGATGTTTTTGCAAGTAGGTATGTCGAAAAATTCGAATAAAAAAAAGTTTCAGAAAACTGAAAACATATCGAACTACCCTCGTAGTTGTTGTGCCAAATTGTGAAGGGGAAAGGAGGGGGGGGGGTTTATATAATAAATAAAGTGATTAAATTAGAATAAAAAGTGTCAGGACTTCCTATATTCCTGTAAACACATCGAACAACTCTCGAAATTGTTTTGTTTTTCTAATATACCTACCCTTGTAAAAATTCCAATTTTTTTTTTGATTTATCATATCAAAGGTGCGTGTGTGAGCGCGTGCGAAACGGGGGGGTGAGGGGAAGGGTTGAAGAAAGGGGAGTATAAGAACGAGCGAATCGAGGGTGGGGGTTGGAAACGAGGGGTGTTCGTGAAATAGCAGAATCGGGAAATCGGACCGTTTTCTTCTGTCCTGTCGCACGTGACGCGGTAGAGAAGCAGGAAACAAAATGCAGAGACCACGCGCGGCGAAAATCTGCCCCTTTCGCCCCCCCCGGGCCGCCCCACCGCTGTCGATGTTGTAAGCTACAGGTCATTCACCTCGCTCGGTTCCCGGCGAACGGCGAAACAGAGAGAGAGAGAGAACGGCCAACCGTGGTTGTATCCGATCCGAATGATCCATGTTCCGCAAAAAAGTACTTATTTTTCGCGTATTCCTTTCCCGATAATCGTCCAGGAAGAGGTCCGGTGAATCGTTGTTTTAGTGGGGCCCACGAAGGACGTTCCGTCGGAGACGCCTCGGCGTTTTTTTTTCACTCGCGACGATTCGGTGTGTGTTTTTTTGTATATTTTTTTTTTTTTTCGGTTCGATTGATATTTAACCTAGATTTTCGATTGTGCCAGGCCTTGTGAGGAAGATAGTGAAAATGTTGGAGAAACTCGATTTTCGGAGCATCTGACGCGGGTTTTATTCGATCGTACAAAAAAACTCTCCTCCACCTGTGTGCGGTTATTTTTTATTCATCTAATTTCATACATCGCGTCGAAGTGCCCTTATTAAATGGGAATAATTCTGTTCGGAAGTTTATACGATAAGCAAAAAATGTAAGTACAAATAACCTATAAAAATCCTAAATTTCATTTCGTATTTAACAAACGTTAATTAAAATTAATTCTCGAATACTCCTCGATAAAACACGCCGAAATCCATCGGTATTAGATCGAAATTTCCGATTTCCCCAACCTGCCGATATTCAGGGTGACATAGGCAACGTCGCCTCGAAGGCGCATTCTGTGTAGTGAAGCGTTCGCGAAGTTCGTCGACCCCGCTCTTAATGTAGGTCAGTAATGGTGGGCGTCGACTTGCGCAGTTTTCCTACGAAATGTCATTACAATCATTAAAAAAAAATGGTATTGTTAGTCAAGGTATTCGTCCTAAATTAGCGTCGAATAAATTCGATTATCATTTTCTTCTTTTTTTTTTGTTTTCGTTATAGACGTTCCGTGTAAATACAGGGTTGCTGGTTTATCACGTTACCTGTGGATTGGATTGTTTTCTATTAAAATGAATTTGTATCAAAGTATGCTCTGAATGTGACAGTTGCAATGACATTTCAACAGGGTTGATTCGGTTGCTTTTTTTCTTCCTATTATTGATATTTGTTAGTTGTAACTACAAAGTGGCTCGTTGTAACGTTAATACGATATTTATACTCGGTATATTAATTCTAGTTTGTTGAAATTCGTTGATATTACCATATCTAAGTATGCTCTGGAAGTGACAGTGGAATGACATTTCAAAAGGTTTGATTTGGTTGTTTTTCTTTAATAATTAAGTATTAACTTTTTCTCTATAATTGTTAATAGTAAATACAGGGTGGCTCGTTGTATGAATTAATGCGACTTTTATAAATTTACCCTATTGTAGTAAATTAAAGTTTTATTTAAAAGTGACATTTGTAATTTAAAGTCTGTATATATTTTTTATTAGCCCACTTGATAATCAGCGAACGGTTTCTTTTTCGTTTAATTAATTCGTACATTTCGAAAAATTACTGTACACGACCAATTTTAGTCGGACAATTCAGTTTTTGTTTATCTAAATTTATTCGTTCCGCAAATTTAAATAATCATTCGATACTTAATTAAATTAGATTCTTTCGTTGTACCTGAAAACGGGCGCACGACAATTGCGCCTAACGATAAGCGAGCTTATCGCGCACTTAACCTCGTTTTTTTTTGTTTCGTTACGATTTCGACCGGTTTTGTTTTTCATCTAAATATCCGTCGCAGAGCTTGATATTGAACCGAGAAAAATGTTTTTGAACTTTACAACGAAATTTTCCACGCATCTAGGTCTAGCGGTTAGCGACCTTGAGGTCCTTGGAACGCCGTCAAAAAATCCGAGAAAATTCGCCGAAAATTCGGCAACATCGCCGATTGACGAATCGTTGCGAAAAAATAATCGGGCACTCGACGAGGTCGTTTACCTGGTTTTATAATTCGTTCTCACTATCTAATTCTAAATTAATGAAAAAAAAAACAAATAACAATAACGGGTCGATTAAAAAAGTTTCTATTTTATTCCACCGCGCAACAATGCATCGGGTATCAAAAATCCAATCGAAAAATCGACCATTGGTGCAATTGATGTTTTCCTTAAATTTAGAAAAAGTGTATACAGGGTGAAATTTTAAGTCTTTTTTTTGAAGACGGTCCTGAATTTTTTTTAATTCTGAATATGCCAGTGTGTTGCTGGTTCAAATTGTATACTTTTACCAAAAAATGAACCAAACCAAATCGAAATAATCACCATAAAGATATAAATAAAAGAAAATTTCGTTAAAATTCATAAATCACCCTGTATCTGTTTAAAGAAGAGGCGGATGGAACTTTTAATGGTCGTATGATATTCACCTTAAATGCCTCACCCTGTATATGAGTTACCGGTATGATGGTATTCGGCGCAATTGACATATTCCGATTCAGAGAAAAGTTTCTATTTTATTCGACCGCGAGAAACCCAGTCGAATGACCGACCGTCCGTCGTCAGCGATTCTTTTTTTATTTTACGTAACCTTTCACGTTCACGTAACCAATACGTAAACGTATGTATGTATCATAACCGGTGCGAAATCCGCCATCGAATCGGGAAAACTTTCACTCGTTTCGTTTCACTCGGAGGCTAGAC